GAAGGGCAGACCATTATTGACGGTTCGTCGACAGAGGTTAAAGATGTACATATGCACCCCCGTACGATGATATACGGCCTCGTTCATTGTACGAGGGTAAATTCCTTAAATCCTCACCAACGGGGAATCGAATAAATTGAATTCATACAGGGATTGTTTAGTTTTCATTGCACTGCTCGGTTATGACCGAACGGGATGCGATTCTCCGCGGTGATTGATGTATTTATTAATACAGATCTTGTTTGATAAGCTTGATTCGTGTTAAAATATCTACTTTATGCAATTGAGATTTTTCATTTTATCTTCTGGAATCGAAATACCCAATTTCTGATCATTTTTTCACGTAAATCGTTTCGTTAAATTAATTATAAAAGAGAGAGAATAAGAAATGAAATATCTAATTGTTTATATGTAATTTTTTATTAAAACATTCTTTTGTTATTATAAATAAAAAATATATTTGTCAGGAATTTGTAAAAAATAATGCTGGCCTGGATAGCAGTATTATTAACAAAAGATTATAAATAAAAATAGTTCTAATGAGCAGAAATACAAGATATTCAAAGTTTAGATTGTAAATATTTTTCTTTTAGGAAAAAAAATCCAGAAAAAGAAAATCAAAGGAAAATCTGGTTCTTTAGGAAGCGAATTTAAAAATCGATAAATAATTATTATATTCATTATTTCCCTTATTATGTTTATATAATTTGCTTTGTATTATATTTATGTATAATATTAATAAATTTGAATAAATACATAATAGAAAGATGTTTAAACGATTTTTTAATCATTTTATTTAATAAAATATATTTGATCAGAAACTGGGTAATAGAATGATTAGAATCGACTGCAGAGTAATTAGAAATTGCTCCTTTTTTACTTTTTTATTTTAAAACTTAATATTTATTTCAAAATAAAACCTTCATCTATAAGAAGAAAAAAAATATTTTAAATTTGACCGAGAGCACGATTTATTTTCTACAAAGAAAGTTATTAGAAATTGGGTTCATAACCCACTTTTGAAAATTTTCCTAATATGAATATTTCTAATCGAATAACTCATTCTCATTTACAAGCAAATATAACTTTTATTACTGACATGAAAAATTCGAAAATCACTGAACCATAAACGCAAGATGCAAATCTAATGGTGTTTCTCGGATAGTAAGGGCGACATCAACTTTGAATGATAAGCCGGAAACCACGTAACGATCCCCCGTCTTATGCATGACAATCTCTAGCACATTAATGCATCGTGAAGCGTATCTCGAAGAGGAAAAGAAAACTTTTTCCATAACCTTTATTAACTTGGATCCGCAAACACTATGCGAAGGAAAAACGAGCTGTCGCTTTAAATTGAAGAGTTCTATGAACTCGTTGAATTGCCGAGTGACATCTTAAATGAGAGTGATTATATAATAATTGTTAGGATAAAGGAAGTTCGTCGGTGGAAAGAATATTTAACGAAGCTGTTATCGTTAATTAGAATCGAACATTTCGAGCAACAACTGAGAAGACTACTAAGACTTTACAAACGCTCGAACTCCTTCAACTAAGATTGCTAACGATTAAGCTGACACTTTCAGCTGGAGTTGTCTCTGAAGCTTTAAACAGGCCATTGTTTGTTGATCCACTTTCATTGTAATTTCTGTGATTTACATTAAAAATCGATCTTTCTTCATATTTTGATATAAAAATCATCAATTATTGCTAATATTTCAATATTAATATTGACTGTTTTTGACTGTTTGAAAAATCAATTTACAACCCTTTCATCACTAATTTATTTAATTAATTTAAAATTCATTAAGAAAGCTAACCGTAAATATATTCGACTATTTGAAAAATCAATTTACAACTCTTTCATCACTAATTTATTTAATTAATTTAAAATTCATTAGGAAAGCTAACCATAAATATAATCGACTATTTGAAAAATCAATTTACAACCCTTTCATCACTAATTTATTTAATTATTTTAAAATTCATTAAGAAAGCTAACCGTAAATATATTCGACTATTTGAAAAATCAATTTACAACCCTTTCATCACTAATTTATTTAATTATTTTAAAATTCATTAAGAAAGCTAACCGTAAATATATTCGACTATTTGAAAAATCAATTTACAACCCTTTCATCACTAATTTATTTAATTAATTTAAAATTCATTAGGAAAGCCAACCGTAAATATATTCGACGATCCAACTTAAAGCCGACGGAATGTTTAAAGACAATTCTACCGGAAGCAGGCTACCATCGACCACGAGTTCCTGGCTACAAGATTTTCCAGCTAGCTGCTCGTAAACGGGCAAGCTCGTAAATGCCAGGCCACGAAGAGTCCTTGGGAAGACGAAGAAAATCCAGGCGATCAACATTTGCATGCTTGCTATCCGCGTAGCTGAAACCGGAAGTGAAGACGTGGACCCGCATTCAGACACGCGAATCTACCTTCTCGTGATTTTCTCGGTGGTAAAATGTGTATTCGACAAGCAAATTTGCTTTTATATCATGGATTGTATAATAATTCTTTAAAAATTGAATTTAGAACTTGATACTTTTTAGAAAAAATGGAATATCAGTTTTTTAGAATTGAAATGGCAATTTATAAAAATTGTAAAAATACCTATTTTTTCTAGAATTGAAATGGCAATTTATAACAATTTAAAATATACCTCTTTTTTCAAGAATTGAAAAGGCAATTTATAAAAATTATAAAAATACCTATTTTTTTCTAGAATTGAAATGGTAATTTATAAAAATTTAACTAAAACCACATATTTTTTCTAAAATTGAAATGGAAATTTATAAAAATTTTTAAAATACCTATTTTTTGGTATTGATATGTCCAATTTTAAAAATTTTATAGTATCCACTTTTCACTGAGAGCGTACATATGAATCCTGGTCACGCGTAAAACGATTCAAAAACGATGGAAAATGATGGGGTGTGACAGCAGTATCAATCGGAAACGCAATGTCCTGAGAAGCCAATACGAGGTGAAGTCAATTTCGCGGAAAACGCATCATTATCGGGGAATACAAGTTATATCTCATACAACAGCAGAGAAATATCGAAGGAAAGAGATGTAATCCTCATGGAAAATATCTTAACGCGTGCGTCCGTTTCATCGCTCAGGATTTGCCAACTTTTCCTCTGACATTTTCCAACCACCTCGTGTGTTCATCGGTCACGAGACTGCTGTTCCTTAACATTGTTCTAAATATAATATACACGTCAATTCTTTTTTTCAAAATTCTTCTCGAAAATACAAATAAGGGTTGAAGGAAAGATCGATGAAAGTGTTGGTTGTATTACCTTAATGGTACCTAGCAGAAGGATGCAGGTCTCGAAAATATCCGGGTACCCGAAATTTTTAGTTTCTTACACAGAAATATTTGAGTACTACAAATTTTCCAATTCTTATTTACAAATATTCGGGTGTCCAAAATTTTCGAATTCTCAGGAACAAATATTTAGATATCCGAAATTTTCAAATTCTCACACACGAATAGCCGGGTACCCGAATTTTTCGGATTCTTACTCACAAATATCCTAGTATTCTAAATTTTCGAATTTTTATTCACAAATATTCAGGTACCCAAAATTTTCGAATTCTCAGCAACAAATATTCAGATACCCGAAATTTTCAAATTCTCACACACGAATAGCCGGGTACCCGAAATTTTCGGATTCTTACTTACAAATATCCGAGTACTACAAATTTTCCAATTCTTATTTACAAATATTCGGATGCCCAAAATTTCGAATTATCACCCACAAATATCTAGAAACCCTTTAGTCCCTACGCGTCTCATACTTTTGAGAAAATTTCAAAATTCTACATAGAAATTTTGGAATAAATTGTCAAAAATTTAAGTACTTATTCGTGTCTAATATAGCAATAAAATAACTCTTTTTCACTTTAACAACGACAGAGTGGTTTAACTGTTAAGCGTGAAATATAGAATTTGCTGGAACGAAATGAAAAGTAAACAAAATCCCGAGGATACACGTCGTTTTAACAGAACGATCCTGATATTATGTTTTCATAGTCGGTCAATTATATTGGAAAAATCGTGGTGCACACATGCTGTCGCGCGTGTTTTCTTCTCCCCGTCGGACACTCGAAACATCCCTGCTGACGCATATCATTTTTTCCGCGAAAGAGAACGTGTCACTGTTCGTGTAATGTTCTGCCCGTCGGAGAAAAAAGCCGATAATAAACTTACTGTTCTTTCGCTGTTCATCTTTCGCGATCGCGAATCTCCCGGTTGGAAAGAGAAAAATGTTATATCTGCAACATGTATGGATGTTTACCCCCGGGCAGTAAAATTTTAATTCAACATTCGAATCTTTTTCATTTTTATATTCTGTATTCCAGGGTAGACCCTGATTCAATAAACAACCATTATTATTCAAAATTCAAAAATGTTTCGTAAAAGGATTTGCTTCCTTTTATGATTCATGAAACTGTATCGATACACCAATTTTAGTTTCTTTCATAAACCTTCGGTCTTAAAAATAAGAAAAGAAGAAACAACGCTTCTTTTATTAGCTTTTCCATTGATTTCAGAGAAAGAGAAAGCAACCCAAGGAAATCATCCCTTGCAGGCATCGAACTGTTTCATCCCCCCCAATTTCATTCGTACTCTAAGTAGTAGAGTCAATTCCTAGAAACCATTCTCACCTTTTAGTAATCAAATTTCCACCCTCTTTGTATCTTTCACGAAGAATACACTGTGTAACGACACTGTTTTCTATCTTCACCGTACAACAAACCCCCATTGAACCATTTAAATATTTAAAGAGAAAAAATGAAAATTTTATTCAAGTCAAACGAAGGATAGACTATTTTTTGTATTCACCGTGCAACGAAAGAGAATTGAATGCCTAGATACGTTGTTCGCGCGTATGCGCAAAAGGGTGGAGGATTTTAGTAAACAAAGAGGAGAAGAAGTTGAGGGTTGTACGGTGGGTTGAAGAATGGAAGAGGATGGAGAGCGAGCGGCGCAGATAGGAGGCCGACACGCGCGTCCCACGAACCCACAGGCGGCTTACACACGTATAAAGGCTGGCGTCGCGACGCTCTGATCGTCATATCCCGCGTAGACGTCGAACTTCGCGACGCTCGGCGTTCACATTCAAGCCTCAAGCTCCTTCGGCTACGCGTCACGTGAGAGAAAGAGAAGAGCACGAGCGGTTTAATCGACTCCCAGAGGAGCCAGTTCACGAGTCCCGACGCTTTTCCAGCAACAGGTGAGCTGCATCTCTTTCATCGAAAATCGAGATTATACGGGCGATTTTCATGGTCGATCGATCGAAATTGTTATCAGTGAAGTGGCGTGGATAGTCCTTGTGAAATTGTTGTTTCCCTTTTCCTCCAATGGAATTTATCATTCGTACCCGGCTGTAATATATGGAACAATCGAGGCATAAATTCAATTTGGCACAGTGCGTAATGTTAGTTCATTTTGGGGTATAGGAGGTAATGGTACTTATCCAAAAAATGAAAGCTCGTATCTTAAAGTAATAGCTTCTAATATGTATAAGAAATTTTCAAAATCGAAAGCTTCTAAAATAAGAAATTTTTAAAATCAAAAGTTTCTAATATAAGAAATTTTCAAAATCGAAAGCTTCTAATATAAGAAATGTTCAAAATTGAAAGCTTTTAAAATAAGAAATATTCAAAATCGAAAGCTTTTGAAAAAAGAAAGATTCAAAATCGAAAGCTTCTAAAATAAGAAATATTAAGAATCGAAAGCTTCTAATATAAGAAATTTTCAAAATCGAAAGCTTCTAATATAAGAAATGTTCAAAATCGAAAGCTTCTAATATAAGAAATTTTCAAAATTGAAAGCTTTTAAAATAAGAAATATTCAAAATCGAAAGCTTCTGAAATAAGAAATTTTCAAAATCGAAAGCTTTTGAAAAAAGAAAGATTCAAAATCGAAAGCTTCTAAAATAAGAAATATTCAAAATCGAAAGCTTTTAAAATAAGAAATTTTCAAAATCGAAAGCTTTTAAAATCCGAATTTTTTAAAATCGAAAGCTTCTAATCTAAGAAATTTTTAAAATCGAAAGCTTTTAAAATACATATTTCTTAAAATTGAAAGCTTTTAAAATTAGAAGCTTATAGTAATCATTATGCAGTGAGCGCCTGACATTAGGTGTCTATTCTCATCTTCAGTGATGAAAGGGTTAAACCTAGACCTACAAACATTTACCCACGTACAAAAACAAAGCCCAAGGAACTAAACATTTATTTAAAAACACGTTCACCTTTGTTTGTTCATATAAAAAATATCCTCAGTGGAAAGCAAAAAACTGGAAGGTATTTTCTTGCACGTTTTTAAAAAAATTTTCTACAAACAGTTTTTATACAATTGATAAGGTTTCAGAGTTATTGCAAATTTATTTTTTTCTTCTAAGTTCAGATGATCAAGTTACTTGGATTTTTGTGACAGTAATATTTTTCAACTATCCAGTAGAATACTATGAAAATATAAATTGAAGTAATTAACATTCACATAATTAATATTTTTGATTGTATAAAATTTATAGTGATAGTCATTAATGACCACCATAAGAAAAAAATAATATTAATATTGTTCAAAACTATTCAGTAGAACTGAGTGAAAATAGAAATTAAACTAATTACTCTAACTGTGTTAGATATTAACAGGTAATTAATTTTTTTGATTTTATGAAATTTATCATCGATGACCACCATAGTAAAAAAATAATATTAATACCGTTCAAAATTATTTTCCAAGTGAGTATATTAAAAAATATCTTCTATTCCACAATGTTTAAATAATCGCAGAATTCCTTTGGCATCTTTCCACGAATTCAGGTAGAATATCTTTTAACTTGCATAGCAATGTGAATACGAAACATTATGCTCCTCCAATTCCAACTTTTCCATCCATTTAGGTTTTCCTTTGTAAAACACTTCAACTATCCGTCGGAAGGTGTTCAAAGAGTGGAATAATGAGAAAAGGAATAACGAAGCCAATGAATCGTCGTGGAAAATGAGACGAATGTCCATTATTACGATTAAATGCACCCAACTTTCGAAAGGTTAAAGCAAATTAGCATTTAATAATGCTTTTTTCGCTTCTTTCGCTATTGTAGGCGGAAGCCATTCAATTATAAGAATTTAAAATGAGAATATTCAGTGTCAAAATAAATAAATAGAACATCGTTTGGAGAAAATGGAAAATCCAAACGATTGAATATTTCTTTTTTTTTTTTTTTTTTTTTTTGTTAGTCGAACCTTGATATAATAACTCGAACCAAATATCACTGCACCTCTGTAATATAACAATTTTTTTCTGGAATTGTTTTTTAAATTAAATTTTGCTCACATTTTTTAGTAGGAGAGAATTTCATCGAAGAGTTCGACAAATTGAATTTTTTACAGAACTTCACATGATAAAATTTTATAATTTTAATTCTGATTTAATTCTGGAGTCTCATAATTATTTTAAACAAATTATTAGGCCTTTCTTAAAATAAATTTTACAATTTTTTATCACAAGACGACAGCAATATCGTCAGCTGGACATAAATAAAATTTTGATTTGGAGGGAAGAGAATAATCAAAAGAATTCTAGAATATTTTAAAAAACTCATGAATATTGCATTACAGATGAAATTTTCTTCCATTTTCGACAGAAAATTCAACGCCATCCTTGAATCGAAATCGAATTCCAGCCGGAATAAATTCCGGGGAGTATTTAGAAACTTCTCGTTTTTCAAAAGAAGACCATTACTCCATTGCCGTCAAACTATTCACTAATTTTATCATAATTCAAAAGCCAAGCAGAAAATTAATCAAAGTTTCGAACAAAGTATATCAGATTGCAATTGGAGATTCCTATAATAAAACTTCTCCACCGATGATAATTTTTTATCATTTCAAGACAAATGAAATCGTATTTCCTGAGTTTTTGAATTATAAAAATTGCGCGAAGTGCAACCGTATATTTAATTCCTGAAAATGTTACCGAATCGTTGAGAAAAATATTTGCCAGACGTCTGCTGAAACACGAGCCCATGCGTTCGTTTTTAATTATCTAAATAATTCCACGTGTCGCATGTAGGTAGGGTTTATTGATTTCTTTCGTTTTTTTTATTTCTTTTTTTTCGTATGACGTTGAATTCCTGTCGAAATAATTATCTATGATGGTCTAAAATGAAAACGTAATAATAAGAGGAATTATTGGCTTTGTTGTCACAGGATATCAGCGTTAAATAACTCGAGATCAATTTACTCTGATATGTTTGTATAACAACAATATCATTTTACAATAACGAATCGAATTAAAATTGGAATGTTAAGGGAATAACAGGTAGGATGATTTGAAACATTGTTAACGTAAAACCTACGGATCGCAATATTTATAACACGATTCTTTTATTAACTTTCAATTTTGCGAAATTAAATGCAGCTTTTTTGAATTAAATTTTTTTATCAAAATATAAGGGGGAAAAAATTTTTTCATGTACTACCGGAAGTTTTCGTTGAACCGTGAAACTCAAGAATTAATTAGCAATATTTCATTGAACCGAGGGAAAGATTTTTAATTATTTCGCGTAGACAAGAAAACTTTCGATTTCCCTCTCGGTAATATATAGCAAAGATCCAACGTCATATTTACGACCGCTGTCGCAAGAGAATTGATATCAGAACTTCCGTTTCATCGAAGTTCCCGAGCGAACAAGTCGTCAGCTGCGATCCCCATCCTGCCAGTGGTTTCTTCAACAAGCTTCCTCGCAAACGACAGACGAGCAAGCAAGTAATTGAAAGCTCGTCCAGTAGGCAGGAAAAGTTCGTAGATTGATATTTTGTTTCATTTATTCATTTACCTTCAGTGAAACGACTTCCGCGTAGAGAATTTCTTAAGTACAGAAAATACTTAAATACAAATACATACATTTCTTAAATTATCATGCAACTAATAAAAATTGTATGTAGATGATTTTCTGGGATTTAAACGAAAATAACTTTGTTTTATAATAAAATAAAATATTAAATCGAGGGTAACGTATTTTTGATCCTTTCTTAACTCTCGAACGGCGGACCATGGAGAGAGCCACAATTCTAATTCAATTCTATACCTCATTATTTTGATTATCTAAATTTTATACTGCTCCAATATATGAATTTTCTTTTATTTAAATTTAATTTAAGTATCCACGTAAAGGATAATTAAAATTATTCTGTATCCTTGAACGAAATTGAAGAAATACAAATATTATGATTTTTTTAAATTGATTCTCCTGAAACTAAAAATTTACCATTAAGCATCAACGAAAGTATAATTCAATGTATGATAACCCTACAGAGAGGAATATTTAGGATACTGGAATAGAAAAAAGACAATTGGAAGATATCGAAGAGATATTATACGACGCGTTTGAAATCGTAGCGAAATAACCAGTTCCTGTCGGACTCAGAATGCAACGGTGTCGGGGAACAAAATCCCCGAAGAGAAGTGTGACGTGAAACCAGAAGATTCATAAATTATCACGATATAAATTCTCTGTGACACGTGGAAAATTTAAAGATTGTAAAACTGCGAGCGTTCGTCGCTTTCGATAACTTGACACAAAACCTTCCAGTAGTGTGGGTAAACGAAAAAGGGAACAGAAAAAGGTCAACATCGCTGTTGAATAATTTCTGAACAATTAATCATTATCGAAGAAATATTTTTCATTTATAAATATTACGGTGTAAATTCTTCGTGAAACGTGGAAAATTTGAAGATTAATTGAAATTAAAAATTCACAGTAGTACGAGTCAATATTAAAACCAACGTGTCATCATCATTATCGAGGAAATATTTTTCATTTATAAACATTACGGTGTAAATTCTTCGTGAAACGTGGAAAATTTGAAGATTAATTGAAATTAAAAATTCGCAGTAGTACGAGTCAATATTAAAACCAACGTGTCATTATCATTATCGAGGAAATATTTTTTGTTTACAAACATTACGATGTAAATTCTTCGTGAAACATGGAAAATTTTAAGATCTGTTTTTAATTAAAAATTCGCAGTAGTACGAATCAATATTAAAACCAACGTGTCATCATCAATATCGAGGAAATATTTTTCATTTACAAACATTACGATGTAAATTCTTCGTGAAACGTGAAAAATTTGAAGATTGATTGAAATTAAAAATTCGCAGTAGTACGAGTCAATATTAAAACCAACGTGTTCCTAATTCTTAATAATCAACTGTTACCTTGAGCTGTACTACTTAGGTCTGTTTCAACTGTGCCGTATCAGCCCATTATGCATCGCGCTGAAACACATACCAGCTAACCCTCGAGAAAGCAAATAATCATCCTGGATCAAGGTGGATCATTAAAGCGCCAGCTACGTTCGCTGATTAGCCCACTTTCGTCTTTCATTCGCGCGACAGAATGCACGGTCTCCGAGCAATAGCGCGCGAGTTCAGGCTTATAAGCTACGAAAAAGGTCCAGTAATAACGTGGCTCTAATAACTTCCCCTGATCCCAGTGTTTCCCTCTTTTTTTTCCCCTGCACCTACGCTTCGTCGCGTTATCAGTCCTTCGACCGAAACTACTCGAGCACACGCGTCGTAGCTAGTTATTTGCTCATCTTCCCCGTTCAATTTGTTGTACACACACGAGTCGAATTACCAGGCGATTTATCACTATCGAGTATCTTATGTACTGTAATACTTTGAAGAAAGAGAGCTTTGATATGTTCTTAGCGTCATTAGCAATATTATCAATACTCGTATTAAATAGCGAAGCGTTGGATCTTCCTTCGGTCGAACGTGATTTCATGACATAAAAGTATCGCGAAACGGCACTTACGGTATATCAATTTGAAGCTTAGAGTCTGAAGAATAAGACGGCATATGTGTTTCATGAATATTCAAAACACAAAATGAGTAGATTCAAGTTAGAGCGAACCATAACTAATTTCGAAACATGGAAAATCTGGGAGATGACGTAAGAATTCAATTTCTTGACATAAAAGAATTACAAAATGCCACTTATATGGTACCAATTTGAAGCTTAGAGTCTGAAGAAAAAGATGGCATATGTGTTTCATGAATATTCAAAACACAAAGTGAATAGATTCAAGTTAGAGCGAACCATAACTAATTTCGAAACATGGAAAATCTGGGAGATGACGTAAGAATTCAATTTCTTGACATAAAAGAATTACAAAATGCCACTTATATGGTACCAATTTAAAGCTTGAAGTTTCAGGAAAATGACTGTATAAACGTTTCCGGTTAATATTCTTACGATTAGTACAAAATGGCCGATCGATAGGTGCAGCAAACAATACCGGATTTGCTGTCGAGTCCACGAAATCAAATCGTACAATCGAATTCAGTGATCGAGTTAATCGATTTGTTCTCCTAATATACCGCAAAGAAAAGGGTGACTCACCGGGGTGGTCGGAATCTCTCTTGAAAGGGTTGAGACGCGTAGACGCTGTTGTTGTGATTACGATCGATTTTATCGGAGTACTGTGAACAGGTATCCGAACTCCGTCGTCCGGAAACGAGATTAACGTCACTTCTCGATGTTCCTCGCCCAAGGGAGAAGTGAAACGTGCCCCGTGGCGTGAAATTAAACCTCGTTAGGGATCGCATCCCTAGCTGTTTCCACGCTCTTTGCGACACTCCCGATGGATAATTTCATTCATTAAAAATCCATTTTCCGCCACGACTTACCGCTAACTTTATTCATGGAAAATTAAAATAGGAACGAAGATAATTATTTAAGAATTAAGACAAAGAATCTCTCTGAATGACCATCGAAAATATACTCGCGAAAGTCCATTTCGAGCGGAAGAGGAGGACGTGCGACAACTCTCCAGCCAACTTGTCCATTTCCTATCATCGACCACGTTCAATCTCATTAAGGATGAGAAGAGAAAGAAGAAGAAGGGTAACGCGTGGGCGTCGGTCAACAAGGGTGACACACAGAGGAGACAGCTTAAAATTTCATTAACGAATCGTCGAAGGGATAGCCGAGGGCTGCGTTAATCTCATTTCCGTCCAAGGAGTGGATCATAGAAACAGACGTCCCATCGCGAACGGAAAATCGATCGTACACCCTTTTTCTATCTCGAGGATCGCTCTCGACACCCTCGTGGCTGGGATTTAAATCGACCGAAAGGACAGACCGTCACGAAACCACGAATTTTATCCCGGCTCCGCAAACACGTCTCGGTAATCCGGAAATGGTGAACCGAACATTCTGGATAAGATCGAGGAATCTCGGAAAGGGTCGCGATAAAAGATTCTTTATACGAAGGGTAAACCGACGAACGGAATGTTTGATGCGGGACGAAGAATCGAGAATAATTTCTTAACCTTTGAGATAAGAAATGGAAGAAGAATAATGTTTTTAGCAGCTTTTGAAAGGAACCACAGGAAATAAGAAATTAGATTGAAATTGTGGCTCTCTCCATGGTCCGCCGTACGATTGTTAAAGGCGGTCCCTAATTTTTCATTTTCTTAGACCTGATTTATAATTCAATACTTAATTTTAGATACTGAAGCTTCAATAAGGCGTATTTCTATAAAAAGCGGAAAATACCGTCGGCTTAGAACTCAAGAATAATTTTCAAAAGTTCGTAACAGTTTCCAAGGATTAAAGAACTTCCGCGTTAAAGGAGCAATCTGTTTTTCACGGAAGATTACCGCACCCTATGCGAAAAAGCTCTTTCCAAGGCATTTAACGTTCAACAAGTTTCCGCAGGAAAATCAAATAGCATTAAACGCGATGCGATTTAACTAGGGATTTTTAAAAAAACACAAAATATTGTGAATTATTGCATTTTAATGAATTGGAAAGGGTTATTTCATGCCAAATCGATCACTTTTTGACGTCACCATCGGCGATTTTGTTCTGTTACCGGTTTCGAATTTGTTTCAAAATTATAGGCCTTCGAAATTTGCAATTTTTGCCCATTTTGACGAAAACGGGATTCACTTACGAATTTTTATCTCCGAAACTATATGTCCGATTGACCTACATCTTTTTTTGTTTTATTCAAAAAGGATTGGACTATTATGAAATAATTTTTTAACCTCGATAATTAACTTTATAATGTCGAAAAATGTAAGTGATAAATTTTTCGCGAAAATGGGCAAAAATTGCAAACTTCGAAGGCCTGTAATTTTTAAACAAATTTGAAACCGGCAAAATGATAACTTCACCCCCTAGTTTCAAATGGGCTACAATATATTTCATTTAGAACAAAATCCCCGATGCTGACGTCAAAAAGTGATCGAGGAATGACCCTATAATTATTTTTAACAGTGGAAATGTTGAATTATAAAAGAAAATCTAGTAACACATATAGAATTCGTAATGATTGATGTCCCCTAAACACGTGAGATGATCTGTGAAAAGCTTTTCAGCAGTTTTCGTATCGCTGATCGATTCTTTTCAAAGTTTTCGGTCCGATGACCCGAAATTCAACGGAGAATCAAAAAAAATCGTACGATAAGCTTGACGTTATTCGAACGAAGCGAGCATGTTGTAAAGGGGATTTGCAATTTTATAAAATGTATCGGTCTCGAGAAGCATCGCGACAACGAGAAGGAACAGGCTCGAAGGAACTTAAATTCACTTTGGCGGATTAACGCCGGTAAATGAAGTTATTGCGAATTGATATTGCGCTGGAAATAAAAATACGAACGACCGGGGTGTAATTAAAAAAGTAAATTACAAAGAGGAGACACCTGTTGCGACGAAAGATTTCATTCTCCCAAAGGAACTTTTCTTTTCGCAATCGAAGGTGCCTTCTCGACTTTGATGATTCTAATTTATTTATTTATTTCTGTGTTAAAGTATACCATCGACTTTATATTTGAGGATGTCAGACTTTGATGACTTATATTTTTTAAACAAATTCGAAATTGATAAAATAATCACTTAAACTACCCCTAATTTTACATAAATTATATTAAAATTCAATTTCATCGAAAATCCATTCGATCAGTTACAAGAAAATTGATTTGTAACATACTGTAATATTATATAATTTCTGTTATTTAACCCTGGGTCAACCGAGACCCAAATTCATATAATATATACAAGAATATTAGTATAATTTTTTAATGAAAGAGTTTCATATATTGGAAGAAAAATTCTGAAAGAAACTACAGGAAACACAAAATTGCATTAAAATTGGGACTCTCTCCATGGTCCGCCGTCCGAGGATTAAAGGTAATTTCTAATAACCGAATTAACGGAGCATTAAAAATTGATATTCAAACAGGAAACGTCGATCAACGCTAACCACAATCAAATTCGATCTCTACTAATCTGATAATCGTGCCACTAAATGTCCCGGTGTGTCCAGAAACTCGAAACCGCGATTCTAGTTAGACGAACGTTTAATATTTCACGCGAAAATCCATTGAATCACTAGTCTTCCCTGCTCCCGATCAATTTCAATCCTATGGAATATTAACAAACGTTGCAATCAAATCCATTTGACGCTAAAATCAAAGGTCAATGAGCTATTGATTAATTCCGATATGGCTTCAAAATTTCTCACGCGTTTATTATTCGAAGGCAGGAGATACGACGGAAAATATAAATCGTGCAGTTAAGCCAGTAACTGGGACCTTTAGCAGCACCGTTTACCCAAGCATTTCATTTCTTCCGAGGTAGCTGAGAAATTAAATCGGCCCCGGGATTTAAAGTGGCAATTTCGTGGAGGAAAAGGCCGCCACGGGTAAACTAGGATACATGTTCGCAGGTCTCATCTCGTTCAGTTTGTCGGATTTACGATCAGGTCGGTCCGAGCTTTTAAAACTTTCCAACGATTTACTGCCATTTAATCGTTCAACGAAGCTGCATATTCCTATTAACTATGATTTAACGATCACGAAATATATCAACATAAGAAAGTTTAATAACTGAGAACTCCTGTCTTCCATCGGAATCGAAATTTTTTAAACAAAACGAATCAGGGAATTTTTATGATTCTATATTTAATTGATTTAAAGAACTCGATTCGATAGATTAATATCACGGGGAAGCAATTTTCTCGCCAACTTTCAAACTTAATTCAAAATAGAAATAGATTGTCAGCATTCTATTCTTCATTGAATTAAATTATCATTAATACTCGTTAATTAAATTATTGTAATGAATTTATTCACGAATCTTACGAAAATTTATAGAACTGGTAGATCAATAATAGTTTCCTTTTCAGAGTTGAGAGGTAAGAACGAGAATGATGACAAGAACAAGCATACTAACATCGAGCGTAGCTGTTCTATACGTGGTTGGGATATCTGTTGCGGCAATGGAAGAAACACCCTCTTCCTCGACGAACTTTCATCACTACAACACGATGCTGAATTCAGTAGGTTTTGACGATCCAGTTCCAGACAAAAGAGCATACACTTACGTTTCCGAGGACAAAAGGCTACCGGTTTACAACTTCGGTATTGGAAAGCGTTGGGTCGATAACGGCGACGATAAAGTAAGCAAGAAATGCCAATATCTATTTAAGATAAATAGATCAAAATTTCCAAAGATTCAATTCCTTTCGATATTAACACACAATAAAAATTCGTATTGATTTCAGAAGATTTTCTAAAATTTGCAATCTCAAAAATTAAACCTCCTAAGCTTAAAAAATACAGATGGAAAAATTTTTGAAAAATTAAACCTTCTTAGCTTAAAAAATCCAAGTGAAAAAAATTTCAAAAATTTAATCTCTTAAACCTACAAAGTCCAAATGAAAAAATCTCAAAAATTTAACCTCCTAAGCCTAAAAATTCAGATGAAAAAATATCTCAAAAATGAAATCTCCTCAGTTTAAAAAATCCAAGTGAAACAAATTTCAAAAATTAAACTTCCTCAGTCTAAAAAATCCAAGTGCAAAAAATCTAAAAAATTTAACCTTCTAAGCCTAAAAATTCAGATGAAAAAATATCTCAAAAATTAAACCCCCTCAGCTTAAAAAGTCCAAGTGAAAAAAATTTCAAAAATTAAACCTCGTCAGCTTAAAAAATCCAGATGAAAACAAAAATTTATCAAAACCTTGAAAAAATTATTCCAATGTTCCAGAGAGGACTACCGTATTCCTTCGGCCTGGGTAAACGACTGAAGCAATACAGCTTCGGTCTGGGAAAGCGAAACGACAACACCGATTATCCAATCAGGCTAAACCTTGATTATCTCCCCATGGATAGTCTCGTCTTGGAATCGCAAGAAAACTCGAATGATTTTCTCGAAGAAAAACGAGGAAGACAACCGTACAGCTTTGGACTGGGCAAAAGAGGCATGCACTTCGCATCCGGACAATCGGTGACCACTGGAAAAAGACCAAACGATCCCTTTAGCCAGAGATATCACTTTGGTCTTGGCAAAAGAATGTCTGAGGACGATGAGGATTTGCTACAATAGGACCTCCTGGTCCGGAACTACGTCGCTCGATCAGTCGAACGATACTCGATCATGTAAACGCGTCAAAAAAGTAGCTCCACCTCGATGTCGCACAGTTTTATTGTCAGACAAAAGTATATCGATAACGACAACAATAAAGAACAAGTTTTGAAGTTTCAACGTCTCCTTCCCGAATTCTTCTTCATTCTATTCTAGTTTATTTTCATTTTATTACTCTTTCTCTGGTAGAAATTCAAATCTTAGAACTGGGTACCTTGAAATTAGAATTTCAGCTGATTTTCCCTTGGATCGTGGAAGGTTTCGATTTACTTCTTAAATTTTCTTCATTTTTTCGAAATTTTTTTCCAATTAAGTAGATCTACTTTTCACAAAAATTTCGAATTTTTGTAATTGTAATTATGGAATAATTATGGGTATCTCGAAATTAAATTTTGACATGGAAGGTGATGGTTTTTGAAAACACTGTTGAATATTAAAAAAACATTGATTATTTTTATCTAAAATTTGGAAACATTTTTAGAAAATTTAGTAGATCTACTTTTCACAAAGGTTTTCTATGTTTCTAGTCATAATTACGAAGTTGGATATCTTGAAATTAGATTTTTAATAATCTTTTCTTTCTTTTAATTATTAAAATGATAATTGCGTATGTGATGATAATAATAATGAAAGGATGTTATCTTTATGCTTTTATCTTTATGCTTAGTTACTTATAGAGCTACAATAAGCTTCTATTGTATATTTTTACTAAAATGAATTAAAAGTGTTAAAACAGAGTGTCTCGGTTGTATCTTCTTCATTTAATATAAATAAACAATTTGAATTCATACAAAACTTGTAAGACCCTCTTTCATCGTTCAATTTTTGTTTCCATATCTATCAAATAAATATTCTTCAAAATAGAAAGAGAATAACATTGAAGATTCATTTTTTCAAGCCCTAAAAATCCAACATTTTCGATATAATTAAAAATTAAAGGAATCAATTTTTTCGACGTCATTAATATCAGAAATCATTGAAACTGAAGAGCAGTATGATAAATAATGAGTCTGCGACGTATCATGATGAATCTGACACGCCCCCCTTTTAATTCTGATTATTCCTCAGTTATTAGCAGTTTCTGCTCAGAGCTGTTCGTCGAAGTTGACAAAAAATCTTTTTCCAGTGTGTTTAATAAAAAATTTGAAAGAAAATTTAATAAATTAATACTTCAAGCTATAAAATTATCATAAATGGCTACGATTTCCTAAAAATCATGAAGACAAACGCGTGGTTCGAAATTCTTCTACTTTTTATATCAACAAAAGTGTCGTTCGGGATTGAAAAATATTGGCTACCAAACTTGGAATGGGAAACGGCTAGTAACTGGGTGGAGAACCGGGTACCGGAAATAGACAGTCGTGTGATCTTTCCTTTGGAAATGAGACATGCTGCGGGTCTCTCGACTTCCAAGGATCTCAGATTCTCTGGAATTGATTTATCCAGGTCTGGATCATTGGCTTTGCCTAGAAATGGAAATCTACAGGTTTGTACTTTATAATTTGAGTCAATCATTCGATACTTCAATAGGGCCGGCCCTGAGATTTAAGGGATCCGAATAAAATTTATAAAATTAACATTAAAGCTTGCACAATTAATTTAGATTTGTAGATTAGACCAAAATCGTCTTATGGGGGCCCTGGACCCGGGGGGCCCTAGGCTCAGGGCCGGCCCTGCACTTCAAACATTGTCCCTGATAGAGAAAGTAAAGGATCAATCTTTTATACTGGAAAAACATTGATTACGGTAGATTCATCTTTAAAGAAAGAATTCTAAATGGTGTTCTGCCAGCAGCATCAGTTTTTAATTTCGCGATGAGAGAAAATATCGACGCGTCACAAGGATTTTGCAAGCAATGACAAATTACTTCGAAAATTGTGTTGAAGCTTTCTCATTTCGTGCTTCCATTAGTCCGTAAAGTACAATTGACATATAAAACATAAATCAGTTTCTCTTGAAATAGAATCTAAAAATATCAAAAGATACAAATATGTATCCGTTGATGCTTCATTAACCGGGCTGATGTGTTTCAAAAATCACAAAGAATACTTCGTGAGAATTAAAAAGTTAATAACTACATGAATTTCCAAGCAATCTATTTATATTGTATTTTATTTTTTCCCGCAATTTTGGGTTTTGTTAGGTAAAGTATATATATGAATTCGCAAGTCTTTTTCTTGCTCTACAATTTTTCAAATTAATTAATTTTAAACAATTTTCAAGCTTTTGAAACGGAAGTTCCAAAAGGCAAAAAATTCATTTTCGACATCTAACAAAACACTAAATTGCGGGAAAAAATAAAATACAAAAAACGCTTTTCATTTATTTTTAATCTATTCCCTGGCAACCTTTAATTTGCGAGATTCTGTATGAAATCTAAATCAAAATTTGATTACTTATATTTTTTAATAAAATTTAATAAAATATCGCAACAGTTGAGGGAGAAAGAAAAATCGTCGGAAAGAACCAGCCAATGGCTGAGATCGGGACACCTGTTTTGGGCCGATCCCGAGAATTGGAACGGAAGTTCCGAAGCCGCGCCTCATCTCGAGCAAGTTCCCTGCCGTCAGGACGACATAGTTTTGCCAGAAAAGAAGAGGACTCTCAGTGTCCTTCTACCGGTAGGAAATATAGAAGTAAGATCCGTTCGAACATCCGACGAGAAACAACCCCTCGGTTGGCGGCAATGGATCGAGGTGCAGGGCGGAAGAGATTTTTACAAAAAGGCGTACATCGTCAGGTGAGTGGGAGTTTTACACTCGACGAAGGAACTTGTAAAAATCGAAGAAACTATTCAGATACGCCGAGTACAGCTGCAACACGTGTCCCTGCCAAAATGACCCGAACAACGATTACTTGGAAGAAATCTGCGCGATTCAGAGGCCGAAATGTGGATTCACGCCCTGCGAATTCCCTCTTACGGTATATTAATTGAAATTCGCGTTTTCTGACACGAAATAACGAGGGAATTCTTCAGGTGGAAGGCCACTGTTGTCGGTACTGCGGCGGTAGACTGTCTTTGACGAAGGAAGCATCTCTGCCTGTGGTTCGAACAGCCGCAGAGGAAGCTTTCGAGAGTTATACGAAAAGACTTGCATGGCACGTCAGACGTACCTGGAAGGGGACAGTCGAGGTTTTGATAAAGGGAAAGACCGATTATTCCGCTATCGATATCCTCGAAGCGGTGGAAAAAATGAAAAGGATCTTGATAAGTAAATATTTTATCAAATTAGTCGCACATTTTCCAAATCGATTAATTCCAAAAACCAAAAAACCAAGGAAATTGATAAAATATATAAAGTTAAGGATCAATCCAACGCTTTGGTACTAAAATTGAAAAAATTAAATGAATGGAATTAATCACTTTGGCATGTGAATAGGTTAATTATATTTTGCTAATTTCGTCGTCTTAAAATCTTTGAATTTGAAATAATATTTCATTTCTTCCTTTCGAACAGGTATGAATATTGAAGTATCGAGCACCGAAACCGCAGGTGCAGCTCTGCAAGATAATCGATTGGCAGTTGCACTTGTTCCTCTCCTTGGAACGCCGTTTATCATCCTTCTTATCATCTTCTTCGTTTTCCTGTACTTCGGCTATTCGTACAGGCAGTAAGTACAATCACAGATATGATTTATATAAGAAATAAGACAACAGTAATTCATTGAAACAAATAAATTCAAAAAGAAGAGAGAAATTAAATCGCGAGATTAGTATTAAACTCGTAAAATATCGAGCTTAATACTTCATGGTATCATAACATTCAAAAAAGAAATTGTAAAAGATACAGAAAAATCAAATTAGCAAGCATAGTGACATTAAAATGACTCTCCATCTAAAGATGGAGAGTCATTGATAGTTCCCCTCTTCTATGACAAATTTTGCCGGGGCTCTTCAGCATGTAGCCTCTTCTTTCTTCGGCAATAGCCTCCAAAAAATCACTCGCGAAAATTGTACTTGCTTCGTAAGAAGAAGCAAGCACAACTTAAGTTTCATTTCACTTCACTGCACTTTGATACTTCATTTTTGCAATCGGGTCTAATACCACGACTGCGACTTACGAACTAAGGCTTGGCCTTAAGAAAAATCAAGAGATGTTTAATTAATTAATTAATTTGCATTCTCATTTTTTCTCTCGATTTTTTGTTTTCCAACCCCAGATACAAGCTTCTCACGTATTGGAGGAGAATACGAAGAGAAACATGAAAGCTTGCTCTGGCCCTGCCTGCTTATAAACTAAACTCATTCACACCAGAAGTAAACTACCTGCCTGCCTATTGCTATATTTAAAAAGGGCAAAAAACATTCTCACAAAAATTCACTCCACGATTCTCATATGTACCACCCGGGTGCAAAAATGCCTATACCTAGAGAGAACGTCCCGGGACGTCTCCGACACCCGAGTTCAATTCAACATTCACACTCTAAAAATCATACCTTTTTGCTGAAATCGACTGACAATTAATAGTGAACATTGTACGAAAATTAATATATTTTATTTTCATATTCTATTAAATATCTAATGTAATATGTATGAGTTGTAATAATTTTTCAACTTATTCTCGATGAGTATTTTCTAATTGTATGGTAATATTATAGTAAATTAATGTTGTTAATAAACGATACAAATCCCACGTCCTAACCACACACACACATGTGGAATTTATATCGTGTATAGTTCATTATGTTTGTCAGTCGCCAAAATATATTATATTTAATATTAAACCTTGTCCACCGCCCTCCACCCACGCGAGTACATCTAAATACCCGAATGAGCTTTGGGCATAAAAATGAACAAGGCCAATGGTAATTTCCACCTACCAGTTTTCTTCATGTGTGCTGAAATGCCTAAGCTAAAACGTATGATCAGTAAAAACTAATACATTGGTATTTTAATTTTATTAAAAAAAAAGAAAATCATTCAAATAATATGAATAAAATTGAAGAACGTTACAATATCAAGAGAGATTTCAATATCAAAATAAATAATCTAATTAATCAAAGATATTCATAATTATTACTTTGACATCGAAATCTGCTCGTCGCGAAATAATTTCTTGTACATATAGAAAAAAGAAATGTATTCTGAAATCGGAGGGTCATCCGACTTCTCTACATTTTTAAATTCGAAATATGTGTATATAAATATGTACAAGAAAACCCTAGCCTGAGCTAAGAAATAAAACACAGAAAAACAATTTGCACGATTATCATTGTATAAAATGTATACAATGATATTCGTGAGTCACTATGCTCGCTCAAAAGATAAACATTACAACCGATCCCCGTGTCGATTCGGACCATTCGTCCTACGCCATGATGGGGACCGGAGGAACTATAAAACATGCGACTCACCGATCGTTGACTTGTACCCCTGTACTCGTAAAGCATCTTTGGAATTGACCCACGACTGACCCACGACTGACCCATGATTGATGAGGTGTTCTCGTACAACCCAGATTAGTCACTTTGTCCCTTAGTTTGCCAAAGAAATGATACCCTCACTGGCCAAAGCTCCGTTCTGAAACCGAAAGTACTAAACGGTTGAAATATTTGTCATATATTCGAATTTCGAATAATCTATATTGTTTCCCAATATATTACAATTAACATATTTAAATTTATTCATTCAAACGTCCAACGAGCAAGCATTTGCAACTTTATGAATAATTAGTAGTTTCCTAACCTAACCCAATTCTAATGCGCAAGTAAACTTTTAAACACGCAAGAATGACGACGCTATAACGCGCAGTAATACATTTGCGAATGCATGCCAAGATACTACAAAACACAGTAGAATAATTACCAAAATATGCCAAATCGTGTAGATAATCACATCATAAAACACATTAACACGACTAATTAAGGAGTCTCGAAAGATGTCACAAGGGCAAGAAGGATACTACACACACATCGACTAGTCCCCTAGTTATACGAGCCCAATTAGCACGTGACCACTTCGACCAATCATACGTCACGATCGGAAGTATATGTAAGCTGAGGTGGGGCGCGACCAATCACAGATTGCGTTATTCTCCCGAGACTTCTTGTCAGCTAAAAACAATGCTATGTATAATAGAGAACCACACCGATAACGTGTTAATAGACCCTCATAAATGTGCGTAATTATACATAATATACGTAATTATGTATAATATAACACTCAGATGAACACATGCTCCATTAATTTAATCGTTAACTCGTACCAATATAGATTGACAGGTAGATGTAACCCCCTTAACGGTCGCGGGAAGACTGTGTTTGACTGTGTTCTAGGTTAAACGGTTGACAACAAAATACCGTGATGCTCAATAAACTATTTTGTTTAGTATTATTCCTGCCGCCGAGCTACCTTGATTCAAATTTTAGTTTATTCTACTTATATTTATTTAATCACAATATTTAATTTTATAACTATTTATTAACTGAAATTTTATTAGATCTATTAAAATTGATTAGTTTTGCAACTTCTATGTGTAGTTATATTACAAAATTTCTTCTAATTATTATACTTTTGTATAATTACCTTCATCAGTAGAAATAATTTATGAAAAATCGAGGATTTGAGAACGTGAAACGACGAGTAACATTTAAAGTCAACAATTTAACGAGAAATAGGTATGGTATCTCGAGGAGGTTATATTTCGGTGAAATATTCACTGGAAAAGTGGTGATCAACTTTTCCATAAGATAGTTATGTTTGACCCTTATATCCCGCCAACACTGTTGAAAGAGTATAGGTCACACGAAAAAAAGAGATAGAAAAAAACATAAAAGAGCGGACGATGGAAAAAGTAATTACACGGATATGAAACACGAGACACGGTATGCAAGTGCCTCCACTTCCCCTCCTGTTGCATCCTTCAGACCGGAAGTCTGCGAAATTAACTTCCCTGCTGGATATTTCTCCGCTAGAGTGGGTGAAATTTGTTTGTTTCAAGTCTTTCAGTGTTCAATTTTCTCGAAGATACAAAAATCTTGTTGAAATTTTTATTTTTCATCGAAAATAAATATCCGTATTATTTTTGTCACAAATTACAATTCGAATTTCGAATCTTAATGAAATCAACAGAAAAGGTGGCTGTTTCGAATTTAACCAGCTGAATTGTGTTTGCGTGGAGCAAACCGGACATGTGCAAATTCAAAAGTTCCGTTTCCGGTTGTTTGCCTCCTAGTGAGGTCGCTACAAATGGAGTTGGTAAAGGTATAAAGGTGAAATGGATATCGAGAGATTTACCTACTCAACAAAAGTAAAAAAGAAAAAAAAATGGACCAGAGTGAAAATGAAGGGAGGAAATAAATTAGAAAAATCTTGTAAATTGTAAAATCAGAAAGTAGCAGAGAAGTATACGTAAATAGAAACAGACGTAGGAATAATGAAGGGGAGATCATAAGCAGAGTCCGAGAATGTTTCAATTTACGAAATAGCGGTGGCAACAACCTAGTAGCCGACGAACTCGCTCCCATTTACTATTTACCATTTTACACTCGGCAATTTCTTCGTCGCCGTGTTTTGCAGCGACCCTTTTGCCAGAAACTCGCCTCATTTAATTAGCTCAACCTCCCAAATTGACTCGAACATCTTATTTCAGGAATGCCATAATTTTTGGCACTTTGCAATGGAAAATTAATGGAAAGATATAATAGCTTCGTAGAATATAATACTTTTCAAAGTTATTTAATTAAATATTATGGTGCATCAAAATAATATAAAGTATTTTATTTGCAATTTTCTTCGCCCAGGGCCGGCTCTGAGATTTCGGGGGTCCGAGGCGAGCTCTAAGAAAGTACCTCAAATAAAATTTATAAAAGACGCAAAATCGTCTTATGGGGGGCCTGGACCTTGGGGGCCCTAGGCGGCCGCCTAGTCTCCCTAGGCCCAGGGCCGGTTCTGTCTTCGCCCCCTGGATATCCCATGGTTTATAACATAAATTTTTGCCTTCCATTATTCAAGCTCTGATAATTTTAATTTAAAAAAAGAATCATCATCGCTTCATGAATTTTTCTCTGATAAATTACAACAAAAAATTATGTTTTCCAGCATGCTATCCGGCTGCACAGATATATTCTCGTCCATCAGGGACGGTGTACGAGTGGACAAATCTCAACCCAGCAAACCATTTGGTTTCGCTCGTTTCGAAAATGTTCCAGAGGGCAGCGTCCAAATAGCCAACGTAGAAAACGTCGAGCAACCTGTTAAAATCGAGGAGAACGAGGAGGAGGACTCGGGTGGAAGATTCGAAAATCCTTTGTACAGATCCAAGAGGAGAAGAAAAGAGGAAAGTGAGGTACTAAACATGGAGGCTCCTTTGAGATTGGCTACGCTTAGAGATAAAGTGGAGGAGATCGAAGAAGCAGAAATTGATATCGACGAATGAAACAACAATTCCAGAGTATATTTAACATTTTATTGAATATGCAATAAAGAGTTTTCATTCACTTATGGAAGTAACTGCAAAATTTAATTTCAATTCACGAAGCACATATTAGAAGCGTTAAAGGTTGGAGAGTAAATCGGATAGAAGAGACTTTCCAGCCCATGGAATAGCGCGGAACTTACTGAGAGAAAGAGCCAGGGGTACTGGAAGAAGGGATTGTACTGCCAGCACTCCCACCCTCAGATGCGCAACCCCTATACCAGAACCTTTAGTGCGCAACAACCCTCCAATTGGATGATTACCATTCAACGAAATTTGAAATTTCTAATGAGAAATATCAATAAACTTATTCTCGAGTTAAATAAAACAGGTGTTTTAACACTAGATTGCTGGAACAAGTCAATTTGATTCATTTACGATTTTATTGCTATATTAAATAATTTTTTTAAAACATATGTTGGTTTTTAATAGAATTATGAAATGTATACAAATACTAATTCCTTCCCCTCCCCACTCCTTGTTCCAAAAATCCATTTGTGCTATACCTGTTTTGACGGATGCGAGTCCGGCAATCCAGTGTTAAAGAGTAGTTAGGATGTGTAAGAAGATGGTCTTTGAGTTACTATAATAACATACCTCCATGGAATGAATTTATGTAGAAAAATAGAAGAATATAAAATTTTTGTAAAATGATTAATTTAAAAAGCTAAAAATGCTGTGTAAATCTAAGTTTTTATTCTTTTTAATTTTAAATTGCACGCCCCAGTTTGAAAACTATACCAGTGACGCCAGTTAGCGGTGAGCGCAAGAACTAACAAAATTAAATATCCTTTTTTTTCCATAAAATAAGCAACTTTTATGATTCATTGGCATTACTAAAATATTCTATGGATTTAGTTATAATAAAATAATTCCAATACAATTAGCTGCGAGCCTTACGTTTGTTATTTATAAAATAACACTTTGCAGACGCTGAAACACTATAGCCATCTAGTGGTGAAACCCTCATCAAATTACTGTTCAAAAAGTAAATTCGAATCGTATTCAAACATTCCCGTATATTTTATAAAAGGTAAGCATTTACAATATTATAATAGTGGCATAACTTTTATAGAAATACCAAAAAAATTTGTCTATTTCATAACATGATATATTATTCTAATTCAACTGGTCGCTATAGAATTTTCTATGATTCTAATTTTGTTAAATATTATCAACTTTTGCATATTGCAAATAAATAACTTTATATTTGTTTTCTATGTTCAGAGAGTATGGATACATTTATTTGTAATAAATGCTTTGCTACGCCATATAGGGGAAAAAAACCATTTTGCTTAACACAATGTGGTCACATATATTGTCATGGATGCATACAGCAAGGTAAATTTAATAAAATAATTTTTCAAGATAATGAGTATTTATGAAAATATATTTCTTGTAATATAGCTGAGAAGCAGTGCCCTCAGTGCCAGCAACCAGATATATTTTCTGTGGAGTTACAACAACCATCACTGGCAAAAGTAGAAAATTTCTTTGCTCCACTTAATGAATCATTGGAATCATTGCATAAAATATGTGGATTCCAAAATAATCAAGTGAAAATTATGATACAACGTTTCTATGAGATTGTACGTTTTATTAATCATTTTATATTTAATGAAAACAAGAATCTAATCAATTAATCAAATTTAAGGATAAAAAGTATGAAAAACTGAAGACTCACTATTATAATCTTACTCATAATATAAAAATGCTGAGAGACAAATATATTAAGCTCAAAACGGAAAATACAGAACAAAAGAAGAAACTTATGACCTTTGAAGTAAACAATAGAACACTAAATTCTTTGAGTGATTCTACACCATTAAGCGTTGAAAATCAAAGAAATGCAAACAGAAGGTATAATATATATATATATGGTAATTTTATTCTATGAAATTTCTTTTTTGAAAATATTTAATCTTTTCTGTTTATAGACAAGCACCAAATTCATATTTTTCATCTTGCGGAACTAATATATCAAGTCAATCTTTCAATGCAGGAAGAGGACATACAATATTAGAAGGTTTTCGTATACCTTATCCTCTATCTGTAAAATCAGTTGGTTCTCGTGGAACTTCAGATTCTAATTCTACTTATACATTTAGACGTTAAATACGATTCTAATATTTTCAAGATTCAAGTATTATATGTATTTGTTAATCAACTTTTCAGAAATTCTTAAACATAATTTTTAAGTTTTTAAATTAAGTTTTTAAATTATAAATTGTAAATTTGTTTTATATCGATTAAGCATTATAAAATGCAATGATTATGACGAACAGAAACAAGTGAAAAGGTTAAGTAAAATCGAAGATAAAATAATTTACATACATATAGTATTTTGAAAAATACAGATATGCTTATTTTTACCATCAATCATAAGTCTTAACGACTAACAGATATTTTAAGAGAAAAATATCTGTGGAAAAACAAGTTTATTTTGATCGTATCAGTGAATAAATGTATAAATTTAGAAATAATTACATGATAACATGAGATTAACGATTACCTCATGATTGTACACTAAGTAAGCTAACAATTTAAAAATAATTCATGTTTTCATTAATGTTCAATAAAAGCTACATTGCCATATATAATTGTGTACAGTTTATGGCCTTCTTGCCCACGTGCGATTTGTGTTAGCATAGTATTTTATTCGTTCAACGAAAGACCAACCTGTTTTTGCGCAGCCTAGGAAGGCCCTCTATTCTTACTTCTAACGTCGCACTTGTATACACGGTGGACAAAATATATGAACAGAGAAAACAAGCGATAAAGTCGACGATTGAAGGATATACCCAATATAAGACCACTAAGTATGCTGTCCGGTGTCACGACGCGCTTGCGCAGACGAAGCATACTTAAGCCAATCAGGGTCAACATGCGCAGAACGAATGAACACTCGTCGTATGAAAGGTATGGTCTATTATTGAACGAATAATAGCAATGGTATGTAAATAAATACATGTAACAATGGTAAAGTTTTAAGCATTAATACAAAATGACAACACAACCTAAACAATTAAAAGTGGCAGATACGAAAGCCTCATTTATTACATCGTTGATAGTAAGTAAAACATGATCATTTCTACATAATTTACTATAGTACGTGTCAGATATTTCTGCAAGGTTCAGTGTAGAAATTGAGGAAAATTTAACTAGAATTTTTAATTATAAAAACTACAGTTTTATGTTTTTAAGAAGTAAAATTCAACAAATTTATTTTCGATTTAATATTTAAGTTTATCAAGATTAGTTAGATTAATATAATGTTATTTTAGAAAACAAGAATCTTATTCATTGTTTTACAATGTAATAATGTTGATTTAAATAGGCAGGAGGACTAGCTGGTGTTTCTGTAGACATAATATTATTTCCACTAGACACATTAAAGACACGACTACAGTCTAAACAGGGTTTTAAGAAATCAGGAGGATTTTCTAATCTTTATAAAGGAATTTTTCCTGTGTTTATTGGTTCTGCACCAACTGGTAAAAATACATGTTGTATAAACATGATTAACATGTAAAAGAATTTAATATATATAGAGAGAAGTATGTAAAATAAAAATATATACATAATGTCCTTTACAATATTGCAGCATCTTTGTTCTTTGTAACTTACGAAGGTATCAAAAATGTAACACAGCCCCGTGTACCTGAAAGATATCACTCTTTGCTACATATGAGTGCAGCATCTTTAGCAGAAATGGTAAATTATATATACAACTAAAACAGAATTATAAATCAAATTTTCATATGTATTAAACGTAGGTAGCTTGTTTAATAAGAGTACCAATAGAGGTTTTGAAACAAAGAAAGCAAGCTTTAATATTTCAAAGAAAAGATGTCAATCTTAGATTACTGTATTGTGGCTACTGGAGCACAGTAATAAGAGATATGCCTTTTAGCTTAATACAGTTTCCATTATGGGAGGGCTTTAAAAAAATTTGGAGTTCAAATGTTGATAGAGATATCCTACCAGCAGAAAGTGCGATATGTGGTGCAATTGCAGGTATAAAATTTTATAACAATAGATTGTACAGTTTTATTTGTTGCATAATTGATAACATAAATCCTCTTAGGTGGCATATCAGCTGCTATCACAACACCACTAGATGTTATAAAAACAAGAATAATGCTTTCACATAAAAATGAGAGTGCCTCAAAATTAAAAGTACTTTATGTTACACAAAATGTTTATAACGAAAAGGGCTTACATGGGTAAGACTTAACATTTTCATTACAGTAAGTTTTGATTTTATAAAACGTTTATTATAAATTTTATAGACTTTTTGCTGGTATTGGTCCTAGAGTAATGTGGATAACTTTAGGAGGTTTCATTTTCTTTGGAACTTACGAAGGAGCAAGAACTGTAGTTATGCAGTATTTCTTGCCTCTTTCTATTCTTACTGAACAAACCGATAAATGTCAGTAATGTTGATAGATATTAAACAAATTTAGTCAAAGCGTTATTGTTAATAAGTACAACTTGGTAAATATAATAATATTTACAGTTACTATATGTATATAAAAGATGCATTTATCATATAGTTATAAAAATAAATTTTATACTTACTTTTGAAAATTGTATATACATTTCGTTTTAACAGTAATATTTATAAAAAATAACGACATTTTCGCAATATAAACATTTTATAACATTTATGTATAAATATATAAACTCTTTTTTAAAAAAGGTATTTAACAATTTTTAAGGTATATGTATACCTTTCTTTTAAAGTATATAACATTTTGTAGCGCTTAAAGTTTAGATTTTAAATTATACATTAATTTTTCTAACTTCATTGCCTTCTGAAGATTACCATTAATCTTCAATTTTCCCATCATGAACGCTGACGCAGGTTTCAGTTTTCCTTAGTAAGCATAAAATTTGTAATCATTAGTACAAATTACTATAATTTAAGTATGAATAGTGCATAAACATGATATACTGTACTATACATGAAATATATTTAAATAGAATAGTTGTAGAATTTTCCACTATAAAAACATTATTTTAATATGTATCTACATACCAGTAAACATTGCAAAAAAGTTTTGAGAGTCCATTGTAAGTACTGCATCTGGTGGTTGATTGGGCTCTCCTTTTCCTACTGCACCTTTTCCATTCTTAAGATCCAAGAACCATATACTAGCTTCATCACCTACAAAAGTTATGTTAATAACACAATCTTAAATTAAATGCTATACAAAGACTATTACCTTTAACATTAAACTGAAATACAGCTCCCGTTTTGTTAACAAGTTCATTGTTTAAATTAGCTTCAATGGCAGTGAATATTTGTGCAATTTTTGCATTTGATTTACTACCATCTTGTGTGGTAGCAGTTTTCTGCATGCCAACAATTTTGGCATCATCTTGCAAACCTAAATTTTCTTCTATAAAGAAATCTAGCATCAATTTGTCTTTGTTTGCTAGAAAAAAAAACATAGTTATTATAGAAAATATTAGTATTTTACATTAGTTGTAAGAAAAGTTGATAAAATGAATACAGCATGAAACAAACCTGGATTACATGCATAATCAGTAAAGTCAGTAATTCCTTCCTGTTTTAATATTTCTTCATCAATTAAAAATTGTCCTGTAATAGATCTACTGTCCTTGGAAATTAAAGCATACACAGCATCTCCCATTATCTCAGGTTTACGGCTAAAATCACTTGAATCAGGACCAGATAACATTTCAATTGCAGCAGTATGAATGGCTAAAATAAAGTTATAAATTAATGAATAAAAACAAAACATTGTTGTGAAAGTAAATAGTGTACCAGTTTTTGGCCAAACAGCATTTACAGCTACACCAGTTTCTTTAAACTCTTCTGCCATTCCAAGAGCACACATTGACATACCAAATTTAGATATTGTGTATGCTACATGATTTTTAAACCATATTGGTTTCATACTTAATGGTGGACTTATATTTACTATATGAGGATTTGAGCTTTTCAGTAAATAGGGTAAACATACTTTAGACCTTAAAATAATTATTGTACTATTAGTAACTTCAATTTTTACACAAGAAGGTTACATCAACATATAATATGGAATTTGTGTGCTTACACTAAAAATGTTCCCCTGGCATTGATATTATTCATAAGATCATATTTTTTCATATCGGTCTGTAATGTGCCTGTTAAAGAAATTGCACTTGCATTATTAATAACAACATCAATACCCCCAAATTTATTAACAGCATTTTCTACTGCAGAAACTACTTGTGCTTCGTCTCTTACATCTACAATACAAGGTAATGCTTTTCCACCCATTTGTTCAACTAAAACAAATGAATACTTTATTTAATAAAATGAATTAAAAAAATAAAATACAGATGATTTTGTATTTAAATTATAATTACGATTTTATATTATAAATATGATTTTATATTATAATTACTTTCTTTGGCTGCAGTATATATAGTGCCTGGTAATTTTGGATGTGGTTCTGCAGTCTTAGCTGCAATAACAATATTTGCTCCATCCTTTGCAGCTTTTAAAGCAATGCTTTTTCCAATTCCTCTTGATGCTCCAGTAATAAAAATTGTACGACCCGCAAGTTTTCTATTTTAAATACCCATATATTGTATAATCATTTCACTAACTAATACATAAATAATATAACAACTATATTAATTGAATCTAAAAATTTGAACTCCATATAATTTTAAACATATTTTTATTGATATATCAAATCTGTTTAACTACTTCAAATGGAAGGTTGGAATATATAATTTCAGCTCTGTCATATTTGTATTGAAATGAGTAGAAATGAATATTCATTATATTTTAAAGTGATTTATCTAACTAATTTACAAACATTTTATAAAATTTATAATTCGTACCCTGTGTTAATCATATTGTAAACAGATTGAGAAACTGCCATAAGAGTTAATAATAATTAAAGAACTTTCTTATTGTAGTAACAGTGTATATTTAAGCATAAATAATCAGATAAAAAAGTACACTTTGCTTCGAAAAACGTCACAGTTTAATGTCCAATTTCATTAATTATCATTGTTGTAAGTTGTAAGATTACCATATTTGACAACATGGCGAAAATTTCATGTATGACAATAATGGGGACTATATAGTGTCCCGCAAATTAATGCACCAATTTTATGTCTGTAAATTTAAATCTTAGAACATAAGTAAGATTCAACAGATTAATATAAATATTCAATGAAAAATAAAAATCTATAATCGTCTTTAGTTGAAAATTAAATGTCAGAATTGTCTCTTAGGGTTTTTGTGTTTCTGATTTGCATAAGTTTTTGTAAATATTATATTTTATCTTTATATCAGTATTTATCGATAGGAAATATAATGATATCTAATACAAGATTCATTTTTAGATTAAATTACTTATTCTACACAATCATTGTTGTTTCGATAATGTCTTTATAACGCAGTTCACCAGAGTCCATAACTGCGACGCGCAGGTTGGAAGATGGTGGGGGAACGCAGCGAGCTCTCTGCTAATCGCTTTCCACTTCGTTTGGGAGTATCGCCAATCAGGGCGAAGATGCGTACTGGAGATGCGCAAAGAACGAAAACTGGTCTTTTCGCAGTTATGGACTCTGGTGAACTGCGGTATATACTGACAACAACCTAAAAGGAAGTTTGAACGTTTATCCAGTAAACTTAGTAAAAAATGAACTTTTGAAACATTTTATTATATTGTTTAACATAAAAATATCATAGGTAAACTGTGTATACATATATATACTTTAAACAAAGTTATTTCATTCATATTAGTATTCAGAAGTCAAGGTTATGTTTATACCGGTAAAACAATGTGTGGTATATTCTGTTATATTTCACAAAATCATGAGAAGAGTTCACAAGTACCAAATGAGGTATTATTTTTTAATTATACTAATCATAAGTTGAAATAAATAAATTATAGAAGTATAATTTTCTAGTGGAATGCTTGTAAAGACTTAATATGTGCCCGTGGTCCTGATAAAGTAACAGAGCGAATTGAATATTTAACTCCAAATTGGTTTGGACACTTTAATGCTTCTGTACTATGGATGCAAGGTTCCAATTTAAATATACAACCTGCTATAGATTCTATTGGAAATATACTTCTGTGGAATGGAGATATATTTTCTGGAGATTTGGTAAATATTTTACGGCATATAAATGTATTAATTACATTAAAATTTTGTACTTAATTGTATGTTTTCTAGGCACAAGATAACATGTGTGATACTGATATAATGTTGAATGCTCTTCAATCATCCTTAAATATCATACCTGTATTTCAAAAAATACAAGGTCCATATAGCTTTATATATTTTCAAAAGTCAACTAATATTTTATATTTTGGTAGAGATATTATAGGAAGACATAGTCTACTCTTAAAAGTGAATACAGATGAAAATGTTTTGACTTTAACATCTGTTGCTAGCAAAGAACTAAACGGGATTACAGAAGTTCCTGCAATTGGAATTTTTGCAGTGGACTTAACTAGTTCAAGGGTAAATCTTTCATGCTATCCATGGAAAGAACCAGATTTAAGATTTACAGATATCATTGAAACATTAGAAACACACTTAAATGTAGACATTAATATTAGAGAAACTATATTGGAATTTGATACTTTAACACATTTGCACATGCATCCTGATATTAAAGATTTGGAATATCTAGAAAGTAGTTCTTGTCTTGACAATTTTTACAAAACATTAAAATATTTATTAGAAAGTAAGGAAATATATGAAAGAGTAGATCATTTATCGCATCTCCTTCATAAAGCTGTAGAAGTTAGAATAAAGAAACAGCCAAAATTCTGTAAAATGTGTGTACAGTTAGTTTTAAACGGAGAAAAAGTTGAATGCAACCATGCAAAAGTAGGCATATTATTTTCTGGAGGCTTGGATTCTGCAATTTTAGCATTAATTGCAGACAAATATGTATTACAAAATGAATCTATTGATTTGATAAATGTTGCATTTCAAAAGTCCGTTAATATATCTAGAAAATCTAATACAAATAATGGTGAACAAGGTACAGAAGACCAGTATGATGTTCCTGATAGAAAAACTGGGAAGCAAACATTTATGGAACTTTCAAGGATTTGTCCAAAGAGGAAATGGAATTTTATAGAAGCAAGTATCATTACTGTCAAATCTTTATAATTTATGGGTATGATAGATCTTTATATATATTTTTCATCTGTTTCAGGTAAATGTTAGTCAGATAGAGTTGCAGAAACATCGTTCTTCCCGAATTTGTAATTTACTGTATCCACTTTGTACCATATTAGATGAAAGTTTAGGTTGTGCTGTATGGTTTGCAAGTCGCGCAAAAGGTACAATTGATGGAAGTGCTAACATCTACGAATCACCTTGTAGAGTACTTCTATTAGGCATGGGGGCAGATGAATTATTTGGTGGGTATATGAGGCATAGAACGATATTAAGGCATAAAGGGTGGGATGCCTTAGCAGAAGAGTTGAACATCGAACTAGCCAGAATTTCTGAAAGAAATTTAGGCCGTGATGATCGTATCGTATCTGATCATGGACGGCAATCTAGACTGCCATACTTAGATGAAAATCTAGTGCAATATGTTCAACAATTAAAACCATGGGAAAGGTAAATCAAAAGATAAAAGAATAATACTAATGGCAAAGAATTAATATCCTGAAATTGTTTATAGGTGTTATCCAACAGATAAAATGACATCAGGTTTAGGAGATAAATTATTATTACGTTTGGTGGCCTGTAAACTTGGTTTCCAAGATACTGCAAATTTTCCTAAGAGAGCTTTTCAATTTGGATCTCGAATTGCTAATAGTAAAGAAAATGCTAAAGATATATCAAATCGTTTGTAAAATGACGGTATGTATACTTTTATTTAGGAATTGGTAAATAAGATTATAAAATATCTAATGTTGGGATTTTTTAATATTTATTGCAGTTAGTTTTTTAATGTTAATTGACAGGATGATACTTGTCATAAGTATGATAAAAAAGTGTTCAGAATTGTTTGAAATTGAAATGGGCATTGAGGGGTTTACAATACAAGATTAATAAATTATGAAACCAAAAGCATACACGTGTACCCTGAATTGTTACAATCTACCTCAAAAGTATGCCTAATTTCAGCAAATCTGTGATATTTAATATGTGTTACTGCTTTTTTGTGTGTTTTATGTGTTCTAGCTTAGTATGTGCTTGTATTTTATAAAAATATTTTTTTAACCTTATATAGTTTTTTACAGTATATGTATAAACAAAATAAATGAACAAAATAATGAATTTTATATTGTATACCAAATCTATCATGTGTAAGTTATTTGTTATTTAGAGCAATATCAGATAACATAGTATGGATACTATTATTGAATGCTGTATATAGTTCCTGAAGTCGTCGTAGAGTGCGCAACACGACGGTTAGCAAAAATGATTTTATGCTACGTTGGTATTTCAGAACGTGAGACACGAACTTCAATAAGACGGCAGCTCTATTTCATATCTCATCTGTGAGTCAAACATATATTTAAAGTCTATATTTCCCTGTTAATTGTTTATATAAATTATTGAAAATCATATAATATTTTACATTTTCAGCATAAAAATAATTCAATACTTCAAATATAAATTTTCAACTTTGATCATTTTCATTCATCATTAATATTTTAGCACTGATTTTTCAAAGTGAGAATTAAAAAAAAAATTATTACATTCTTAGTCAAAGCCATACAAAAGTACGTAAAAAAAAAAAAAAAAAGAAAGACAAAGACCTATGAATTGGTACACCTCCTCCCCCTATTGAAGGGGTAAGAGGTGGTTTGCGTTAAGGGTTAGTTTTGGTCGGGAAGGATCGAGGGGGCAAAGGCGCGCGAAGGAGGGCGTCGATTGGTCGGACCAGAGGATGCGTGGTCCGCTCTAACCCGGCCACATCCAGTCTGCCGCCGACTGCATAGTGGCGTGGTTCGTTATTTTTCTTCAGTTGATTTTGGTTCTCGTGCGACGGCGACCGCTGTCAAACGAATGTCGTGATCGTGCGTACGTTATTATATCGGGCATAGACATGACATAACACGTAATTTTGGATGGACACTTCTGTGCATACAGTGCCGGTACACAGTCAGAGGAGGCGAGGTGTTGCGATATGCCGGTGCTGGGACCAGCCTGACTCTTTGCTCCTCTCTGGAACATCGCGGCTCTCCTTCGACCAGGGTCATCCACCCTGTGCTCCAGCCGCTTCGCGTGTCCGCTTTTATCCATTCAACGTGATCCTGAAACCTGGTCATCAACAACCCTTCTGCTAGTGGAAGGTAATTGATCTTTTCTGTTATTTTTTTTTTAATATTAATGTTTTGATATGTATTTACAAAAAACCATGCGTTACTAGATTATAAATCATCTATAGGGTAGTTTGTTTTGAATGTTTCTCAGACACTGTTTTTACTCTTTTATCCCGGCAATTATTGAATGAAAATTACTTAGGGTTGAATAGACACGGATTGATTAGGTGTTAGTGGTATGTTTGCGCGAAGAGTCGGCAGCGTTTGAATAGAATAGAGGTTAAGGAGACGGTGTATTTGTCTTCAACTTCCATGCTTGACTTCACTCGCGTTGGCGGAGTGAATTGACTTAAACCGAGTTCTAGGATTTAAAAAAAAGCAACATTAAGCGTTAAGATGATAGGAATTAAGGAAAGAAAAAATAGTTCTTTTAGTGCCTCGTTTTTATTGTTTCTGAAATAGAAAACTGTATAAAATTTTGATGGTTAATAGCCAGTTTTCAGGTGTAAGCGTTACGTAATGTTATTTTACTGTGCATATCTCTGTCCCCTGTGCCTCCGTAGTAAATTGGCCGTATTGTTCCCAGCAGGAGATGGTGTTCTATAGAGTCATTCGAGCTGTATCTGCTCGTAACGAGCAATTAACTTTTGCTCGATTTATCGTTCGCTATAGATCGATATCTCGATACCCCCTGTAAACGAGATAAGCTGTTCGAAAGAGTGTGTATTGCTTTTACGAACGATTTAAGAAAATAAACGAGACATTTATGTTGGTAATATTTCCTTACTAATGTATAAAGTATTTAAGGCGGTTTAAAGGTAGATTAATAACCTACTATTTAATTATCGTAATTAAGAACAAGAAGAATGGTAGTCCATTCGTTTTCTGTTTATTTTCGAGCGCAATTGATTTTCCACGTGTAATCAGCGCTTTTGTTGGTCAATGGAACGCACAGTAGCGTGACAAAGATGTACCCAGAGATTTATGGCCGAAGCATCGCCATGGAAAAGCGATTTACTCGGTGATTTAACGCGGTGTACCTAATTTCTTACACGCATGGTATTCGGTTTACTTCATCGTCTATTTTTGATGGCATCGAAACGATCTCGATATTTACCTCCTACGTTCAATGGAAACGGATCATTTCGACTATCGGTAATCGAATAATCGACTATCGATAATAGGCGATTAATCGTTAGTTACGCATATAAGCCACTATCGTGTATGCTTGCGGTAACTTTTATGTCCGATAAATTATACACAATATTCCTGAAAATTGAAAATCACCTGGGTTTAAAATACAAGGTTTTAAAAATATCTTCTGTTTATTTAAAGACTATTCAAATGTGAATAGTTGTTTCTGATACTGGGTCAGTGAAGAATGAGAATTTTTTAAACGTAAAACGCGACGATATGATAACGTGGAATACGAATTTCTTTCGGGTTTAGACTTTCTATGTAATTTATCCAAATTACGCCGGTCGTTAATTGCGGTCTTCATTACCTACTTTTATAGAACCTCATTCGTTACGAGAGTATAAAGATTTCTTCTAATTAAATTGCAAGGGAAAAGAAACAAACCTTTGGGAAAATATTTACCGATGCAGTTTCTATAAATATATACACATCTCATTAAGGAAATATCCCAAATATTTTATTTGTTATTTTACCACAAGGGTCGTCGATGACTCGCAGTATCTAATCATTGCAATTTATTATATCGATTGGCAGTTTAAATATGAAAATGAATTATTTTCATTCTTAGCAATTAGAGGTTAAGTGTGCCTGACCATACACGTTCTCTATCACTCTAGTGATTGATGAAGTCGCGTTATGAAATGACTTGACACAAGCAGATCGTTAGTTATGAATAGAAATTCAAAATTTTCGCCGACCAGGAAATATTGGCCCGAGAAAAACTTGTTCTGCCAAATATTATAATTTGCCTGAGGTTGTCGCAAAATAACTAAACGTGTAAACAGATATTCAAGTTCAACTCATATACGCATTTTCTCACTCCCACGTGCTGGCGCAATATCCAGCACCGATTTAACGTATCTTTAATTTTTATCTACCGAAAAAGCATTCTTTACGGAATTTATTGTACTTCCGTATTTCTAGAGACAGGGGCAGCACTGGGCCTAGGCGGCCGCCTAGGGCCCCCCAAGGTCCAGGACCTCCATAAGACAATTTCGCGTTTACTTGAATATTAATCGATGTAAATGCAAATCTAAATTAGTTATAAAAGCTCTAATGTTAATTTTATAAATTTTATTTGAGGTACTTTTTTTATGTCATATATGTGAAGGGGCCCTTTTTCGGAGCTCGCCTCGGGCCCCCGAAATCTCAGGGTCGGCCCTGTCTAGAGAACGAAATTTATCGAGTATACCGGCAGTTTTATAAGCGATTTCTTTTGCAAAGAATCCGAGTCTTTTGGAAGTCGCGTCTGTAAAAGGGGTCGATAACGGTCGGGCAGAGGGTGAATTTAAGCAGAGCATTGAAATTTATTCCGGAAATTCGCGCATGCACTGCTTTTGCCAAACAACTTTTCCATCAAAACATTGCATAACTGTATGCGGTTGCTAGACACGAGGTAAACCAGGCTATGTGTATCCGTTGATTACGTACATGCATGAACGTATGAGAAATGAAAAAAAAAAAAAAGAATTTCCTTTATTTATCGATCACACGAGCGACACAGACTGTTGCTGGCACGTAACAGCGCGATTCCAACGAACTTTTTCATACGTGTTGCATCAAGGTTTTACAGAAAACAACGTTTGCGTTGCTTTTCTATTTCAACGCTTTATCGTCGGCCAATTTGTGCTCGGCGAACACAGAGTTGCAACTGGTACTCGAGGAAACTGTACGTTCCGCTTTTATGAAGCTTTGTTATCGAGCTTTGTTTTGTTTAGCCGTTCATCGTGGATGAAATTGCACTGAAATAGAGTGTAATTCTCCTGTGAATAGTTGAATAACTATGGATAGAATATACAGGGTGGATCATAAAGGTATTTGTCTTCAGTATGGTCGTAGAGGATCAGGGATATGTTTAAATTAAGGTTAGAACGTATGCGGTAAGGAAGATGGCGTTACAAGAGAAGCAGTAATGCCGGGACTCTTAATTTTGACGATATTAATATTAAAAGTGATTTATTAATAAAAATAGTATTATTTTTAATTATTAAATGTTATAAACTTTAGTATATAATTGGGAAATATAAATATATGTATAAATATCAATTCAAATTTTTCCGCGTAAAGGTTGGTATGCGAGTGGTGGGGGAAGGCCACGGACCTATATAAGGGGCCTCTCTCACGCAACGTCATTCTCTCGCCGCCCGTGGGGGAGAGTGGGAGCCCAGGGAAGGGGAAGCCGGTAACCGCGGGGGAGGGCCGGGAACATAGGGGAACCGGAAGTCCCCGGGGAGGACCACAATCTTGTAAACCTGGAATATCTCGGGTTATTTTAAATTGTGAAATATTTTCAATCAAAATTCTTCTAATTACACAATAGAATACGATTTAATAGAGCAGATTTGTTTATTTGGGAGTAGAATGTGTGCGTATCCGTTATAGAAGTTCGTAAATTAGAAATGGCGAGTAAATAATCGTGTAAAAGGGAACAGATTCTTCCATCGGGAAACCACCATAAAATATTTCGAACCATTGGATACATAAAACTTCTTGAAATAGATCTCAGCTTTACGTGGTTCGAAACGAAACTATAAAAATTTCGAAGTGAAAATTTGATATATGAAAGGAAATAAAAGAGTTATATTTTACTAAAAAGAGAAATGCGAAGAACCTGAAATAATTTGTACGAATGTGTTAGAGAATATACGGTATTGAAAGCATTCAAAAATGTGACTGAAAGAAACGAAATATTGAACTGCCATCGATTGCTAAAAGAAGGCAGCCATGCATGACGAACATCCGCCCGTTTATTACTTTTTTCGTTCCTTTTTCCTCTTCTTTATAGCACACAGTTATGACGCTGTGTTTGATTCAGTAGGCAGTAACTGAACGATTGCAATCTCGCCAACCACAGTTACTCACGTCACTTTTTTATTTTCAAAATTCATTCAATGAATTTTGACGAGGGGTTATCAGTGACCCAAGCTTCAAATCTAATGCAATCGAATAATAAATAATAAAAAGAAAAAGAAATTAAAATAACTCGCCAACCACAGGTACTCAAGTCATTTTTTTTTTTTCAAATTCATTCAATACAAAATTTATTTTACGTTAATTGCCACAAGGGGTTATCAGTGACCCACGCTTCAAATCTAATGCAATCGAATAATCAATAATAAAAAGAAAAATAAATTAGAATAATATCATTATAATATTATTAAAATAAAATAGAAAATATACGCTTATTCCTATTCCACTAATTAACGCATTAAAAGAACGGTACCTACATATTTGGAATCGGAAGTAGAATAAACTTCTGTTAGGCCAGACCACACGATCCGCCGAACATCTGGAAATTCGATTCGGAGAAGGATCGATTTTCATGGTTTTCTTGTTTAATCGTCGGGGTCGTTGTAGCTTCACCAAAATACTCATGCGCAAATATTTGACTGGTGCGTTCGGTTTGCTGTTTCGTGCAGGGTGCCAGACACGTGGCAGGGTTTTAAATCCATCATATTACACCGGCTCTCTGGAATCCATTTCATCCTTTCAATACCAGTTGAATGTATAAAATAAACCCTTCATTCATCCTAGAAATTTCGAATTTACATGTGAAACTTTTTTTCTTATAAATTCGAAATTGTGGCAATTAGCGTGTTCAAATTTTTTGCAACATCTATAAATTATTATTCAGAATCGACGGTACGTAGCATTCTGTTTTTGTATATTTAAAAAGAATCGATAATCGAACCGATGCACTTAATGTCTGACCAATGGTTTACTTTTTCCACTTGCACAGCCCATCTTTCAAATGCATTGCTTATTTCTGTATCACCTCGCAATTCGAACTTTATCGGTTAACTTCATCGATTACCTACCAACTTGGAAACTTTCTACCACCGTGTCACCGTGGCAAAAGTTCAACTTTTAATTTATATCGCGCTTCCTGTCCTAAATAAAAGTGTTCAGCAAACTCTGTTCCAGACTTTGACGAATTTTAAACTGTCGAACCTATTTAGAATTAAGAAAAAAAAAAAAGAAATTATCACGAGAAAAGGAATTGAAAGGGACGGGGAAAAAATTGTCTGTTTACAGTTGGCTGATCGATCGTTTGCGGCTCGCTATTCGTGAAACAGGAAGCGGAAGCGTGGATAAGGAAACTGATGAATATCAAAAGGTTGAAAATAATGGGGAGGGATGAAGTAACGTCGGTGTGACGTTGAGAGGCTCGAAGAAGGGCTGGAAAGCCAGACTCTGGTATAAAGGAAACATTTAATTGGGAGAGAACGAAGGGCTGCACCAGGAATGGCTACGCCGCCGGACTCGCCGGGACCGGAAGAGGCACTTTTCGACTTCGAGAGCTCGAGAACAAGGCAACAGACCACCCGGCCCGTCGCCCTCGAGGAACTTCTTCGGCAGACCAAGTTCTCCAGACAGGAAATACGAGTGATGTACCGTGGCTTCAAGCAGGTAAGCGATGCTGAATAATGAATCTGGATATACGATACACGAAATCGTGATGGGTTTCGTGGAATAACTAGAAGAGACATGATTCATTCCCGAGGTTCTTGGAACTACTTTAATTTTCTTGTTAAGATACACTTTGAACTTTTCTTGGGTTCCTGGTATATTCGATTAAAATTCAAATCATGTACACTCGCGATCAAATCAGGCTTCCATTGGGAAAATGGCAATATAGGGGAAGTAGGAATTTTGATTATATTATTATTATAAATAATGTATCTTTCAATTGATAAATATTATATGATGAAATTTAGAACGAATAGGAAAATAAATATTGACTCTTCGACGACGGACCATGGAGAGAGTCTCGAGATAGCGCGGCGGACCATGGAGAGAGCCCCAAATCTGATTCGATCACGAGTGTACCGACTATAAAAATAATTCCGGAAATTGTTTTCTATTTCAATCTGACGGTAACAATTATTTTCCAAGGAAAAATCCTCTCGGTTTCTATATCAATCGTGAGTATATTCACGGTTGTACCCACTCAATTTTCTTCGTTATAATTTTATTTGCATGAATATTCATGGAAGGAAAACGTTCCAGCGAGACCTTATTTCGACCAGCTCACGAAGACCAAGCCTGTTATGCATACGATGCTCTACCTTAGCTCGAAATATTCCTTGGTGAATCAACACTGTATCTCCTACATTATTGCTCGTCCAATTCCTTGTTTTTAACGTTTACGAGTACGAATCTCTCCGAGGTGATTAGGCCAATTATCATTGGGCCAATTAAGCTCTCCTTGTATTTAATTAAAACCTTCGAGCACTGTGGATGGATATATCCGCTTAATGAAAATGAATAATTTTAATCAACAACCCTGGGGAAAATTTACAATTTCATCTTCTAAGGTTTAAATAAACTTTAATGCCTTTTTCCTCTAATAAAAGGTTCAAACTGAAAAGAGGATTTCTACACTCTCTTTTCTATTTGATTAATAGATGAAGGCAATTTAGAATAATTTTAATCAACAACCCTGAAAAAAATCTACAATTTCATCTTCTAAGGATTAAACAAATCTTAATTTCTTTTTTCTCTAATAAAAGGTTCAAACTGAAAAGAGGATTTCTACACTCTTTTTTCTATTTGATTAATAGATGAAGGCAATTTAGAATAATTTTAATCAACAACCCTGGAAAAAATCTACAATTTCATCTTCTAAGGATTAAACAAATTTTAATGTCTTTTTCCTCTAATAAAAGGTTCAAACTGAGAAGAGGATTTCCATACCCTTTTTTCTGTTTATTTAACAGATGAACGCAATTTAGAACTGAACATAAAAATGAGCATCCCTTTGATCGTAACTCGTTGTTTCATTAAGCCGTTAGGTAAGCTAGAGATTATGGTTCGTCCTAGTTTCCTCAGCTATCCTCTACGTAATCTAGCGCATATACGGGGTGCACTGATATAAACCTGGATCGCTTTAATATCTTGTCTGTTTATGTTGAGCCTCGAAAGAGAAAATAAATCTCATTTGCACGCTTTCGTTATGTTCGATAGACGATTCGCTTTGATTATTAAATCACGTGTATGTGGGTCGCGTAGGTGATATTTTCCGGTCTACTGATTTCATCAGGAAATTCGCTTTCTAGATAAAGTAACGTGCCAACCTCGCCGTGGATGTCCGTTTACTATTGACCACCCCGTGTATACCGTATCAACGATTTTCGTGACGAGGAAGGCCTTGCCACGAACCGCAGGATTTCGCGTTTCACTCGTGCGTCATTTTCGCGAGGAACGAGCGTTTCCAGGCCTATAGAAACACCAACTGCCACGTCAGTCGGTTGTAAAATATTCACATACCGTTTCAAGGGTGCTGCCTGCTTCAAGGTTGACACCGCTTCCAGTTGGACGCAAATTTTGCCGGCTACAGGTCAATAGAATACGGTTGAACGCTTGCTGGTTCATCTTGAAGGTTCAGATTCTTTTTGAAATCTTAAAAATTTAAGATGTGAAGTTTATGTAAAGAAAAGAATCTTCAGAATTATAATAAAAATATCAGAGATGTAGAGAATTCAAGCTTCGAACCTGACGAGGAATTTTAGTAAAAATTAATAAAAATAATTCTCTTCCCCCGAGTGATTAATCTTACAAATTTAAGGTGTGAAGTTTATATAAAAAAGAGAATCTTCAGAAATGTAATAAATATATCAGAGATGTAGAGAATTCAAGCTTTGAACCTGACGAGGAATTTTAGTAAAAATTAATAAAAATAATTCTCTTCCCCCGAGAGGTTAATCTTACAAATTTAAGGTGTGAAGTTTATATAAAAAAGAGAATCTTCAGAATTATAATAAATATATCAGAGATGTAGAGAATTCAAGCTTTGAACCTGACGAGGAATTTTAGATCAATAAAAATAATTCTCTTCCCCCGAGTGACAAATTAAACGATCGATCGTTATAACAATAACGATGCCAAAGGTAATTAGAATAATTAACGAAGCAGCGACGTTTATTCGCAGTGTACCAGGTTTTATTAATTCGTTGATAGAAATGAAAGAGGGTAGTTTTGGCCGTCTTTCAACGAGCCATTCGCTACTTCAGGTCTCGGCAAACAGAAAACGTCGGATTAGTAGAAAAAGTTGTGAAGTGGCATCCTTTTCGATTGATTTTTAGAAGGTTTTAAGTGCTCCATGCCACTTGTCGGTGTCTTCTTAGATGGGTGCTACTCTTCGCCGCAGACAAATGAGTTTGGAATCGCAGAACCACCTGTACGTTCGGTAACTAGTTGAGGTTTCAAACTTTCTCTTCGTTGTTAGCATTTCACTGTAATTTCCACGTTGTTCGGCTGATTCGAACAAATTGATCGGTTCTGATAGAACACCTGCTGTTTGGGAAAACAGTCATCTATATAGTAGAAAAAAACTCTAAAAATTCTTTCTATTATTTATTTTTTTTTCACGTTAAGACGTTAGAAGTGTGCAGGGTAATATATCTATACTTAAATTGCATAATTAACCCCTAAAATTAAGTGTATCATTTTTAAACAAAAAAGTTTCATTTAACCCTTTAGGTGGAATGTATTTCTATCACCTTTTTGTTTTTAGTTTTCTCTTTAATTTGGAATTAATTTGCAGATTTTTTCAATATTAAATGCAAAATTAAATTAAAATTGTGGCTTTCTCCATGGTCCGCTGTCTTGGAGCTCTCTCCATGGTCCGTCGTTTGAGAATTAAAAAACACATTGCATTATATTTCTTACTTTTTTAGGGATCGATAAATCTATACATTTATCAATTTTCGATGCTCGAGATTCTTATAAAGGAACCTCGATGTTTGATATCGAACGTTCTTACAGAGGTAGTTTAGAGGTCTGACACAATTTCATGACATAAAAGTATCGCACAATACCACTCATGGTAGATCAATTTAAAGCTCAAGGTTCAATAAAAATGACTACATAAACGTTTCATGAATATTTTTCATTTTCAACGGTCGGGACCATGGTTCTTTCGATTCGCCAACATAAACAGCAAGTTGAACGATCGAAACTTTTCTTCTCCAACAAGATCCTGCGATGTCTGACGATATAGTAATCGTCGTGACATACTTTTAGGCTGGCAAGAGCATAAAAGCCGGATCGATATCTAACGTGCAACTGTGTCTGGTTACAGAAAAACAGTGTGAAAGGACTTACGTTGGTCGCGCGTAATCTCTCGGTTTGATCAGTGGCTACGAAACGATCCAGCAATTTGTACGCATCCGTCTCTTTCATTTATGTCGGATCGATCGAATTCAGGAAACCTGGTACTTCTATTTTATCTGTTACGGATATTCCGTCTTCAGAATATTCCATTGATTCAACCAAGAATTTCCAACCGAATTTTGACGGAACCGTTGCTTCTTAATGCATTCGCGATGCGACGACCCAGAAATTCGGCAATTGCAAGGGAAATTTTTCAATTTAAAATTTGTCAGTCATAACTCAGCCAGAAATTATCAGTTATCGAATTTATCAAAGGGTAAACCAGCACCGGATTAAACGGGGGTCTAAAAAGGCTCCAGAAATCTTAATTTTGTCCCAGGAAAGTTATCGAAATTTTTCTTTATCATAAAATACTCTGTTCAGGCTGTTCCATTTGATTCTAAAAAAGAAAGATTGATATGCATGGACGTTTCATGGCTTTGATGGTCTTGGAACTAGGTGGACCATGTGTTAAAAGAGAGATTCGCGACAGCAGTCGACTGATAGCAACTGTGTCGGAACAGTATTTCATTGTCTCGTTCGTGCCAGCAGCTATCTTCAACGATGGCTATCGAATGCCAAAGCTTTCCCACCCTCAATGACTTTTATCTGTCGTTAATTGAATAAAGATCTGTATTATAAACTCGCTGAAATTAATAAACGTCCAAGTGAATATTTAAGCGAACTCGAGTTACACCCTTTCGTTCTTTCGTATGATAATCGAAGAATGTCTTCCAACTGAAAAAAAAAAGAAATTTTCTGTAAGATTCGTTCCTCTTAGGGATAAGAGGGTACCGATATTACGGGCTCGGGCGGGTTCGGAAAACATCGGGCGGGTTCGGAAAACATCGGGCGAGCTCGGGCGGGCGTCCGATACATGCGTGCAGTCCGGTAGCCCGACTATTTCGGGTTCAGTCGGGTACAGTCGGGCAGACTCGGACGAGCTCCCGCGAGCCGCGGCCAAACTCTCGTGTACTTGTTAATACTTGCAATAAGCAGGTGCAAAATCTGTTTTATATGGAATTTTGGAATAAGATAGTTGAATAATAAGATAATTTGGGAGCTCGTCCGAATCTGCCCGACTGTACCCGACCGAACCCGAAATAGTCGCGCCACCCGACTGCACGCATGGATCGGACGCCCGACCGAGCCCGCCCGATGTTTTCCGAACCGATCCGACTAGTCGGGCCGTACATCACTGTAGTCCCTAGATTCGCGGAATGTCCTGCGACACTCGGTTCGCCCACTCGTGTCCGTGCAAACGCATTCTCTTGACACGATTTCCAGACTTGGCTCGAGTGGCAAGTGTACAGCGGCGAAATAGCGCAATTAAAACATCTAAGGAATTGCTGAAAAGTCCGAAGCTTTTTTCGCGATACGCAATTTCGAGCTGCTTTCAGCCGGTAAGTGGCTGCGACAAAAGCACGAAATTCAACCTTTCGATCGTTTCAAGCTGGCGTCAAGGTACGCGACAGGGAAAAAATGTCGAAATAGTCCTTTTGAAAAGCGCCAGGTGGATAACTTCTCCTTTTGCGTACGTGTTTTTATGTTGCCGTTCGAGCACCCTCGTGAAAGCGTTTAATATTATGGAATTAATCAAAAGGAGAGATTTATGTGAAAGTCCCTTCCCTGTTTTGTAGGATACAATCTTCCATATTTGGAATACTGATATTTTTAGTTAATAAAAGGTTAATATTAGAGAAATATTAGAAGAATCAAAGAAACTTATTTAGAATCTCTCCCTTATATTTTATGAAATACAATTTTTTAAATTCTAAATAACTGAAAATTTAATTTAAAAGAGAAGCTATTTATTATGAAGAAATTAGATGAAAAATATTTCAAATACAATTATTAGATCTACAAATTAATTCTGTCTCTTTTTTTTAAATTGAAGATTTATTTTTAAAAAGTAATCTTCATTATTATCATATTTCAAATACCTAGAAGCACGAGAAAATATTCAAATTTCAAAAGAGTAATTAAAATACCTAGTAATTAAAAATTTCGTAGTTTCATACAAATTTAACATAACAGTTCGTTAATACTCAATAAGTCTTACAATTCTTTTTGTCACACTCCGATGTATAACAAAACGTAAAATATTGAATGAATCTTTCCGATTGCTGTTCAATAGCACGAGAACCATCCATTCTCTCAGCTCTTTGTCACAGATATCAAAGAAAGCCTTCATTGTTTCCCTTGTTTTCTTTGATCGGGCCTGGCTTAACCCTCTTAGATAGCAGGTTCCAGCTTTTTTTTTTTTTCTTCTTTTTTCAATGAAAGCGTAAAGGTTAGAGGAGCATTAGCACGTCCTATTGAACTCGATTCTATTTAAGGTTGTACAGTGTTCGTATCTAATGGAAATCGAAGAAGGCCTAGCAGAGTCGAGGCCAGGACCTTGACGTTTAGGAAAATCAGAAGGATCCTTGTACCGCAAAAGCCACCTGCAAAGGTCGTGAAAAGATAAATGAATTTAACCGGTGATATTCGTTGTCAGCTTGAAACATTCTAATTCGGATGAACCTTCGAACTTTCACGCACCCCTGCTGACCTGATTATCGGAGTTGACTCTTTTTTTTTTTCTTTTTTTTTTTTAATGTAATGAGAATCCAGCTCCCCACGGGGGGTAAATCGATGCAATTTTCTTGAATTTATATTGCATTGTGCCTATATTGGCCAGGGTGAAACAGTTAATTGCTAATCAATAATTTAGAGGCTCTACCGAGCTCTCGTTTCGGTCGTTTGTACTTTTATATTGTCATTTGTATTAAAAATATCCAGGGGACGTTTACGTGGTCGTTTTTATCGAGCTTCAAGCTTCAGATTCGTGTACCACGAGTGGCATTTTTTAATACTTTTATGTCATGAAACTATTGAAGACTTTCTGTGTCCTAATAAAAGTTGCTTGACACTTGACGATCTTGCACTTTCGATAATGAAAAATATATTTAATATCATAGTAATCGAGATGTATACAGTTATTAACCCTTTTTCTAAAAGAGTAAGAAATTTATATAATGCGTTTTTTAACTTTCGAACGGCGGACCATGGAGAGAGCCTAAAACGGCGCGGCGGACCATGGAGAGAGCCTCAATTTGAATTTAATTTTATGCTTCATATTGTTTTCATTTTTAAAATTTTAAATGGGCCCTTTAAAAATTATCTACCCTAAAAAAATCTTCCATTTTGTTCCAAATAAAATTATACTTTATTATGTAATAAATTCATTATAATATACTTTCTACTTCTTTAGAAAAAGAGTCAACTGTATAAATTACCGTATAAAAATTTACAGAAAATTTCACGCGAATAAGTGAATCGTTGATAAGAAGAAAAGTATTCCTCGTATGAAAAACGACGTCGTAAGTACCGGTTAACGAGAACTATAAGTTGAGTGGCTCTTCACTGAAGAATCTGACGTTTCTAGGAGGCACTAGTCTCTTCTTCATTCAGCTCCGTCATTTTATAAAATACCTTCCATCCGGTTGTCTCAATCCGTACGTATAAGATCGTAGAAGGAAGGAGAATCAACGAGCTCGAGAGTAATAACGCGAGAATACATTTCTAAGATTCCAACGTAACTGGGATGTATCTTTCTCGCGTTCGTTCATCTTAATAATGAAACGAAAAAAAAAAAGAAGAAAAAAAAAAGAGGTCTTAGCTGTGGCCTACTTTTGTCGCAATTTACCTTGCTAAGGCTTTCGCGTAACTTCCTGGAAGAAGCTGCACCCTCGTTTCGTTGCTCTTTTGTTGCCACTTCTTTCAGCAAGTCCTTCTACGTTACACTAGTCATTCTTGTTATCTTGAACCTTTTAACCCGTTCGTAACAGGAGCGGTGACAAATTTCGGAAATTAGAATTAATGAGGGTGTGTAAAATGGAATTTCAATTAGCGCTACTGCATTGATTATAGCGATCTTTAGCGCGCTGTGATTAAATAATAATTAGGGGGTGGACTGGAACTTCATTTTTTAGTGGGAAATTAGCAACACGAAGGGTTCTAATTTAATACTTAATGGAGGGGTTGATTTTTCTCTATTTTCAGGCTTCTTAAGGGTAGTGCAATTAGGGGGTGAACTGGAATCCAAATTCCTAAATTAGGGACACGAAGGGCCCTAATTTAACACTTAACGAAAGGGTTGCGTTTTCATTATCTTCCTCCATTTTCAGTTTTCTTTTTTAGGGTAGTGCAATCAAGGGTGGACTGGAACTCAAATTCATTAATTAGGGATACGACATACCCTAATTTAACACTTAACGAAAGGGTTGCTTTTTCCTCCATTTTCAATTTTTTTTTTAGGGTAGTGCAATCAAGGGGTGGACTGGAACTCAAATTCTTTAATTAGGTATACGACTTACTCTAATTTAACACTTAACAGAAGGGTTGTTTTTTCCCTATTTTTCTCCATTTCCAGGCTTTTCTGAGAACAGCGCAATCAAAATATGTACGAAAACGTAAATCCACGTAGCTCGTCTTAGGAAGTTATTAAATCTATACGTCCCGTTCAATAGGTGTTAAATTAATTAGTCTTGAAATCCCGACCGCCCCACTGGGAATCTCCGCCCCTGATTATGATCAGTGATTATTAATCACCTTTCAAATAATCCTTGAACATAGTATATTGAAATCTAAATTTATTTTCAAGTAGACGGTAATAAATCATTATCGTTCTTTAAGTGTCCTTTGCCCATTTGCCGGAGTATCATGCGTCTCGCCTCCTCCTTCTTCCTGTTCTTTCTATTTCTGTAAGCAAAATAGGATACCGGGGCATTGTCTGAATCGGGACACAATGCTCTTCCTTACCTGAGTACATTCTCGTAGATAGAGAGCTCCGATTGTTCGGAGAAATTACACATTCGAGCAGCAAAGCCGATGATAAACGGAGTGGACTCGAACGCAGCCTCGAACGCCTCGCCAACTAGAATTATATCGCATCATGGGGTCTTTCGTGGGTCCTTTGTGTTTCGATAGTTACAGAAATGTAAATTGGTATTTCTATTAATGGTAGAACTGTGCTAGTTTAATGTGGAATACGATTTACACCGCGTTAATTATACAAAAGTGTTCTTAAAGAGTCAGGCCACCTTGAAGATTTTTAGGAATTTTTTTTGGAGAATCAATGAAGTAAATTCAAAATCCAGTTTAGACATTCTATTATACGTATCTTGAAGTATAAAAAAAAATTTTTAGATTCATGTTTTTTTCAAAATGGTGGTTCTGAACTTAATAAAAGCAACATAGGTTTAATTCGAGTAGAAGTGGTTATTATTTGATTCAAGAGCAAATAAAAAAATATTTTCATTATATATATACAATTTTCTAAGAAATGAGCATTTTTAGGTAAAAGATTCTATATAAAATTCTCTATAACATAGAAAATTGTTAATGAATCCTAAAATCCATATGTACTTCTCTTAATAATTTATTTTTAAAGATCCTGTCCAAATTTGAATTGAATCAATCAAATATTAATATTCTTAGACTTCTACTGTTCGTCAACTAAAAAGATTTAATTTTGAGAAAAACAACAAGTTTGAAATTGCAATATTTTTTGAATAAGAAAATTAATTTTTAATTTATTAATACTGTGTTATTCTGACAGCAATTGCACATTATTCTTGACATTCTAAAAACTATTTCAAGTCAAAAACAGGAAATTCGATTTTCTGAAAGTTCCAACGTGGCCTAACCCTTTGAACCTATTCTCTTGCCTGTTTCATTAAAGTCATTATTAGACACGTCGAGGCTGAAAGTTTCGAAGCTCAAAGAGCCAGAACCGAATACTTCGGCTAACGCTGCACCTCCGTCAGCTGTTATTCCGCAAGCGCTCAAGTCCAGAACTTCTAAACTGTCTTTCCGTAGTAGATCTAAAAGAGAAACATCCATCTTCTCCTGTATCTAGGTAAAAGGAATGGAAAAATATTCGGTTCGAAAAACATTATCTCTGAAATGGATGATCCCAATTTTAGAATGCATTATAATATTATCAATAATCATGCAAATATAATATCATTTTCTTTTAAATACTTGTAGAGTTAACCCTTTCAGGATCAAACTTAATTGTCATAATAATTTATAATTCTGTACTTATTGCTTTATATTCTTAATACAAAACAAAGCTGTAAGTGTAGATGGTGAAAATTTATAATATTATTAAATTTATAATATTATTAATTCTTTCACTTTAAATTAAAAATATTCTCTGCAAACTTAGGATTGCTCCAAAGGGTTAAATGACCAGGCTGACAAAAGACTAGCCTGACATTAGCCCATATCCCCCAAAGACTTCCCCGAATTCTGACTCAAGTAGACCAAATTAGCAAGACAGAAATGAATCACTATTCTAGTTTGCCCCAGTGGATACAATCAACGGCACACAGCCGTCGATACGTGGCCAGTGTAAATATTGACTCATGAGAGAGGATAAAGTTAGCAAGCCAATACTTTGGGGGTATGTAAGTACTTACAGGCACAGACGTGAACCACTCCATCGTCCAGCAGAGGGTTCAATTTCAAATTTAGATGCTTCAGTATCGAGTCTTCTCTTTTAAGTAATCCGTTCATTATCCCTGACACTCCTTCCGGTCCTATATCGTTGTTGGCTAAATGTATGATCTTCAAATTTTTATGGACTCGTAGAAATTCACCGATAGCGTAGGCTCCTTTGTCTCCTAGTTTGCAATGCGAGAAATCTATTTCTTCTATCTGGAAAATAAATTGAAAAACCGATTGGATATTTTGTACGGTGTTCCTAAGAAAATTTGAAGAAATTCAGAAGGGACACCGACGTGTTCGTTCCCCAGAATCCCTTGGAGCAAAGCCGCGGCACGTGGCTGATCCAGGTTGCTCCTGGACAGAGTGAATTTCCTCAATTTCGGGCAGGCATGGATCCCTTTTCCAAGAGCCATGCAATCTTCCACCGAGAACCTTAAACAGAATGAAATTCGAAGGGAAAATCGGTTTTTAAAACGAAGGTGAAAAGGAATAATTTTTGTTCTTTGAATGAAGTAAAAGATTGAATTGAAATTGGGCCTCTCTCCGTGGTCCGCCGTCCGAGGGTGAATCGGATAATATTTTATATGGTAGAAAATTCGTTGGAAATAGAACTTACTCAAAGTCTCGCCATTCGAAACCGTCGTTCATGTAAACCACCTCGAAATTGATGCGAATTTCGGTGAGATGAGGAAGCTGGGGTAGAATAATCGCGAAAGGGATGTGGTGAACAGGCTCCTCTTCGACGACACAGGGATCCTCGTCATCGAAAAATTTTGTACGTTTTCTGGAAAAGTTTTCAGAAAATAGAGGATCTGTAAGAGGATTGAACGATAATATTAAATCGATGAAAGGAAAGTTTGATTTTCCAGGGAATTTCTATTCCAAGCAAAATGTATGCTTATCTTTAAGATGGTTATGGTAGAAGTTTTGATAAAAGATAGAAAGTTTGTTTACTTAAAATTTGGATTACTCAATGATATGCAAATAAGGAACATTGTGACTTCAATTACTTTGATGATATGCAAATCAGGGACATGATTATTACGTTTCCTTGTAATAATTTCAGAATATGCAATTTGGGAACATTGTAATTTTCCTCTATTCTTCCTTTCAGTTTCATTAAAAAGAAAACATATGCTATTTTTTATAAGAAATTATAGTTTTCTGTGATTAATTAAAATATTTTACTTGGTGGGACGAAGAGTACGCAGTACCAAGGTGTGTACATAATTTTGGACAAGTTGAATTGTTTCTTCGCATTTCTCTTGCTGGGACTCGAAGTAACTTGGCTCGAAATTTTCCAAATATTCGCAAAGATGACCCTCGCAGTAGAGTTGTCGCCAGGAATCGCCATGATCCGCCGGATTGTTGTGCTCCCATCTGCAATAATATCATGTTTCTGGTTATCGCAAACTCTGCAAAGCTCTTTATGGAAATTCGATATCGTTCTATGCAGTTTTATATTTTCAAATCGAACCGCTGGATACGTTCCTTGAAATTCGGCCAAAATCCTGTGTCTACAAATGATCAATGAGATTTGTAACACATACACTGTTACCTGATTATCCCTCCAAAGGCGGACCCTGGAGAGAGCCCCAATTTTAATTGAATTTTGTACTTCATATTATTTTTATTTTCTAAATGTTGCACTGTTCCTTTAAAAATTGTTTTTGTCTTTAGTCTCTTTAGTCTTTCTAGGATTAAGTAATAGCCATTCTATTTAATAATTACAATTATAATGCGTCTAACTGTACATGCATATTTTTATTCGGACGGCGGACCATGGAGAGAGCCTCAATTTTAATTCCTCTAGGAATTATTATCCTCAAAAAATTATTTTTCCAATATATGAAACCTTTTTATTTAAAAATCATACATTTAAAATAATCCAGATTACTCGATTAAATGTTGATTTAAATTATTCAATCGAATAGAAATCTAACTTTTCAATTTTATTCATAAATGCAAAAATCTAACTTTCCAATTTTATTCATAAATGCAACAATGCACTTGCATTTTTTAAATGCATCCTCATATCTGTATTTGCATTTTTGAAGTGCATCCTTGCACTTGCACTTGCACTTTTGAAGTGCATCCTTGCACTTGTATTTGCATTTTTGAAGTGCAACCTTGCACTTGTATTTGCATTTATGAAGTGCATCCTTGCACTTATATCTACATTTATGAAGTGCATCCTTGCACTTGTATCTGCATTTATGAAATGCATCCTTGCACTTATATCTATATTTATGAAGTGCATCCTTGCACTTGTATTTGCATTTATGAAGTGCATCCTTGCACTTGCACTTGCACTTTTGAAGTGCATCCTTGCACTTACCTGTTTCTAGAGCATCGTTCCCAATACTGTTCGTCCTCTATCTTCGTGATAACCAGTTTAAATGGTAAATCGATGGGTAAGATTTCCATAAGCATATCTCTATCCTCGCAAGTCGGTAGTTCCTCTAATATAGGGTTGTCCTTCCATGTCGAAGCTATGACACTAAGGGCAAGCACCTTCAAGCTTGTAACATTTTTCTCGTCCCAGAATTCATCTTCCGCTCGAATACTTCTGTCGCGTTCGCTGGATAAACGCATTGTCTCGTCCGAACATCTGTGGAAAGAAAAAGAAAGAAGTATAAAAAACTCGTAGAAATAATATGGAATTCTGTAATTTCTCATGCTTGAACCGTATAATGAACCCGAAAGGTTTACTTGTAGGCTTCAAAGACGTTCCTCGGCACAGCATAAGGAATCCTCATTTTTACGTTTTGCTTCGGGGATTATATCCGTAAACAAGAGTACACGAACAACCCCTCCTATCCCATCCACATTTTTATCATCTCGTAAACCGCTTCAGGGAAGATGTAGCCGAGATTTACCTTCAGTAAATTGACCTACCATTACTACTATACCAACAGATCATTACTGGCTGTATTTTCAAACCTATCTGCCTTCTTATCTCCAACGTAAAATGAAAAAAAAAAAAAAGAAGAAACGACGTTGAAATTTGCCACAATACTCGATCACACGAATCTGGTCGAAGTAACCATTCACTGTGATTTCTTTTTCAGGAGTGTCCGGAGGGTGTAGTGCACGAGGACTCGTTCAAGGATATCTATGCGAAATTCTTCCCCCATGGCAGTGAGTTCCAATTAAATAAGAGATCCCGTTTTTGCGTAATTAGTTAACGGCGACTCCTACGAATTCCAGACTCCAGCCTCTACGCCCATTACGTGTTCAAGGCCTTTGATGTTAATTGCAACGGTGCCATCAGCTTCAGGGTAATTTTTTCCTCGTTACTTTCACCTGTAATTTAAAGTTCAAGCGACTACTCTTTGCAGGGGTCAATGCTTCTTGATTCGTTGCAAATGAGTTGAGATCAGGGGTGGGCAAATAGCGGCACGCTATGAGTTTTTTTGTGGCCCGCCAAGACAGAAAAATCCGCCTTGAACCGAGATTTAAATAAATTGAATAAAACTGCCACTATTTTACTGAATTTATATTTATTGATTTTTAATGAATATTTAATGAATGCAATTATTTTAAAAGGTACGGCCCTTCGCTAACCTCCGTTTCCACAAAGTTGCCCCCGAGTCAAAATAATTGTCCACCCCTGGTTTAGATTGCTATTCCTATTAGTAGCGTAGCGGGTTTTATTATTAATTGCTATACTATTACTACCACTCCTACTGTTAATTGTTATTAGTGACATAGTTGCATCGATTAGGCGTACAGAACACTGTAATTTCAGGATCTCCTGGTCACCTTGTCCACGTTGTTACGAGGTAGCATCTACGAGAAGCTACGTTGGACGTTCAAGCTGTACGACATAAACGGCGATGGGTGCATCACCAGGGGTGAGCTAGGGGAGGTGGTGACTGCCGTTCACGAGCTTATGGGTCGACGACATCATGCCGAGGAGGAGAGAAAAGCGAGGGAGCAGTTGGATAGGGTGTTCAAGAAGCTCGATCTAAACCAGGATGGTGTAATAACGATCGAGGAGTTTATTGAAAGCTGCTTGAAGGTACGATGCAGTACTCTGTCCACCTTGATTTCAAACTCTGAAACTCGTTTAGTTATTATCAGATGGGAATCTATTAGTCTTTAATATTTTAGATGCTTTAATAATGGAAAGTGTTCTAACTTAGTTTGAGGATGATGGATTTATTATTTGCAGAGATTGCTTGAATACAAATATGAGGACATTGTGAAAAGATGAAGACAGGGAATTAAAGTAAAATAATACGAGTTTAGCCTCCTCCTTTTCTTCTTAATATTTTATAAAACAAATGGTTTTTATATATATGTGAAAATTTCTGTTAAGTATGTTTGTAAAATGTCTAATTTACAAATTATAATTAGCAGGTAATAGAGATACATAAGATAGACACAATAATGACTTTTGCATCACCAGAATTACTAATTAATCAGGAGTATCTTAAAAAACACAGCTTGTATCATTTTATACAGACTGAAACACACTGATAATAATTGAAATTGTGAAAAGATGAAGACAGAGAATTAAAGTATTGATGTACTTATTGCCAAATCCAATAATAACAGGAGTTTACCCCTTTCCTTTTCTTCCTACCCTTTCAAAACAACAAATGACTCTTTTATATGTATATGAAAACTTCTGTCATGTATGTTTTTAAAATGTCCAGTCTACAAATTATAATTAGCAGATGGTAGAGATACATAAGATAAACAATAATGACTTTTGCATCAAATCAATCATCAGTTTCCACTGAAAAGCAGCTTGTATCATTTTATACTTCAAAAGAACATATTCTAAGAATAGCATTTTTCCCCAGGATGATGTAATCACACGGTCGCTGGCGATGTTCGATTGCGCGCTTTGATCTCCGGCTAAGGAAGAGCCACCGGCAGTGACCACGACGCCGCCAACACCGCTCTCCACCACGACAACCTTTTCACAGTCCCAGTCACCGTCACCACCGCCACCATCTTACTCTCTGCTGCCACCGATTCCACCACCTTTGCCTTCTCAACCACCTCCAGGTTATACGGTACAGGATCAGGAGCTGTACATGCTTCTAGCCGCACATTGGTGGAACCAACCGGAAGCTCCGCTATTTTGCTAAGGGTAAACTCTTCGAATGACCGTTTCGCTCGAATTTTAATCATTTAAGGTCCGAGAGTGCCTCGCGTGCACTGGATTAGATGAAATGCCGTTTTAACAGCAACCCTCGTTGGCTCTTTTATTTCCAGGATGTAAGGATAGACTTTGATTCCCAAGAAGCGGGAGGCCAGTACTTCTAAACGACAGGAAGGAAAACTGAACAAGGGAAAGAACGACGAAGTTTGTGAAAAATCTTGCGGGTTCAAGAGTTCAATTAACGCGTTTGTTCGTCGTCGAGAGACGAACGAGCTTGCTGGTATATTTCTTCTTGCAGAAGAACTATTTTACGTCACTTAAGTGAATTTAATTAAGCGTCCAGACTGCACAACGGAGTACGCCGTTCCTTGGAGGGAAAAGGAAATGGTATGTCAATTGTGAAATCGACAAAAGAAAAGAAGACTAAGGTACACAAAATTGTAACATTAAATTAATGAACCGTTCGATTGATTGGAAGGAAACGATGAAAGGAGCAGGTTGAATCCTTAGAATCCGTTTGGGAATACAGAGAACAACGGACGATGAAGAAACTATTTAATATTCGAAGAAGGAAACGTTGCTAACGTTGAAAATCGATATATATATATATATAACAGAGAATTATTGATCTTATTTGACTTCCGTGCCAAACTCCTGTTGAAACTGTTGCATTTCTTTCGTAAAGGGGACAATAGAATTGCGAATCGACCAGGAACTTTGTATTTAAATAAGAGATACGACTCTTTATCTAAGGAATTAATATTGAAAACAATGTAGGGAAAGGGGTTGCGTACGGGTATCGACCCGAAGGGATAAACCACGCACAGGGTGTCCTTAAATTCGTAACGCTATCAGAGGCGATTCCTCGTGAAGAGAAACCAGTTTTCATGGTCGTTTAAGCGAATGTTAAATTAATTGTTAAGATTAGTCTGGTTGAATAAGAAAAGGGAGAGACGTTTCTGTAATGTTTACCAAACGAAACACCAAATTGCAATAATTAAATCGTAACTTAAAAAAGAGAAACAACTATTTGGTTGATAAAGAAAACTTAATTGAAAATTATCGATTCGACTGGATGTTGCCATAGGCTTAGCCAGCTTTTTGTCTAATTGTTAGACATTTCCTTTACATTTAACTATACAAGCTGAGGAGAGAATTATAATTATATGTGCACTTTGGGAACGCTTCTATTCGTATTTTGCAATTAAAATTTTCTTATTAAATACTTAATAAGTCATTCTGCACGCAAATCAATTTCTTTGCAATTCTCTTCGCTGTTTTGTCATTATTCTGTCTGAAATACTTATTGATTTACAGACTTGTCGAGTATTTAACATAACAAACAATTGATAAGTGATAGTTACCTCGCGAACCGCCAGAAATTATTAAGTGATATCCTTTTAATCAGAGCCAATCCCCTTCAAAATAGAGAATGAAACGAATTAGAGCCACAAATTTAAATAATAGAGAAATCTAGTGTAAGAAGAGTTTGTTAATCGTTATTGTCTCTTCGTAGCGCTCTGTCACTTGTTAATCGATGAAACTTCTTCGCCACGATGTTTTAACTAGAGTCGAGGGTGCACAGGTTGCTAGGGACGTTCCTATAACAACATGTTGACTGCCATAGTAGAAATAACCATGTGTAGGATGGCACAATATACGGTAAAGATTCGATGAAAGCGAAACGCTCGGGGCTGTACTTTCGTTTACATTGCGCAGTTCCTACATTGTTAGAAGTTTACCGACTACTTCAAATGTAGAAAAGAACAGCAGGTGAAAGAGGGACTGTTCTTTTTCATTCGCTATTCTCAGGGCCGGTAATGAGATTTCGGGAGTCCGAGGTGAGTTCCGAAAAAGGGCCCCTTCACAAATTTACTATCGTCACTTTAACAAATAAATATAGTTCAACCTACATCCGTCAACGGCCTTAGCCACTTAGGCTATACCGGTACCCGTAAGATCACCGAAGTCAAGCTAAGTGGGCACGGTTTCGCCAAAAGATGGGTTACCGTGTGCTGTTGGCAACGAATAAGGGGGGATAGCGAATATGAATAAAATGAGAATAAAGCGAAAATGTGTATATATATAAATGGAAAATAAGAGTTATGGCCACAAATATAAAAGAAGTAAATGTAAAAATCTAAAATAGACGAGATTTGAAAAAAGACGCGCACGTGTGCGCGTGGACGCTAACTTTCATTGGGCAGAAAGGGGCCGTTAGCCCCTTGATAATGCCGCCCTCTCAACATTAAGGGAAAACATTAATCAGTCAACCTCTATATCGTGTTTGGTAGCATTTTAATCAGAACAATGTCACAAATACACCTAGGCAGAGAAGTTTTAGAAGAAAAAAATGAAAAATAACAAAGTTCAGTCGTGTTGCATTAGTATTAGATCACTGATATATTCGATCTCAAATCATGTTACACTACTCGCGAGTAAACTTTGCGGTATCTCAAGGGGTATAAGTGGTGGGGATGAATTCTTCGCTTTCATCGTACAAATCTTTTTTTCGCTTTCATCGAATCTTTACTGTAATATGAATTATTAACACTTTGGCTGTCACTGACAGAGCCAGTATTTGAAGACTAATAATTTTGTAGCATGTATTGTATTTAATATTTTCTTTCTTTATTTATTTATTATTTCATTAAATCAAGTATGTAGCATCAGTTCCTGGTGACTCTCATGGCAGTCAACCTGTATTAACCTGTTAACCAGTGAGCTACTATATATTAGGAAAACAGTGAGTTGCATATAAAATAGATTAAATGTTTATTTACTTTTTAGTTGAAAAATAAACCAGTTAACAGGTTAATTGAATAATTATTATAAATTTGCGTTTAGAACTGGAACTGTTTATAATTCTATGCAAAACTCGTAGTAGATTTTCAATAGAATCTTAAAAACGGATTTAAAATTATATTAGAATATTTAGTTAAATATTACCTCGATAATTGCATGAATTTTTCAGTTTCATTTCCCTACAACTATCGAGGTTTTATTGTTTCATATTTCGAACATTGTAATATTCGAATGATTTCGAGTTCTCCCAAGAATTCCTCGACTTCCGGATGGAAGCACAAGAAAATGCCGAAAAGGATCAAGGTTTCCAGTCACGCTACGTGTGTACATTGTATTCGATCTACTGTTAAACGATTTTTACATATTTTCTATGAAAACAAAATAAGACGAACTTTAAGGGGGGAGAAACAACGAACGTTATATTAAACAATTTTCTACACGCGAAACAGAAAGTCGACCAAGCGACTACTTTGGGTAAAAGAACGTCGAGTACTTCCGGTCTCGTTGAACGTACCCCAAAGGAAACATTAAAGTTAAAAGAGAGATTAAAACAAAATTTTTTATTTTAAGAATTTGTTGTTTATTTTATTTTTATATTTTTTTGGTGCATTTTGCAGGTTAGGTTCTTCAAACCGGAAGTGTTCTATACGTTTCAATTTCATTGAAATATTCAGAGCAAATTTTTTTGAAACATTTAAAGTACCCACTGATTACAAAGGTACACAAACGTTGAATGATCATTTTTTGATGAATTATAAGGAGGAGAAGATCAGCGTCAAAGTTAATTCAGTATGATCGTGTCTTTATTTTCATTTACTAAACTACTTAAGCATTTAGATTACATACAGAGTATCATTTAAAATAGGAAAAGTTTTGTTATTTATAATTAGGACAAATAGTGATTAGATAACGAACAATATCAACTTTTAATATTCATCACATCTACATGTTATATTACACCGTTTGCTTGAAAATAATGAAAAAAGTTAAAAAAAAAGAGGATCATGATAAAATGTAAATGAGAAATTCTAAAATTCATGCATGCTATAACGTGCAATTTTCGACCGATATTTTCCCCTGTTTTATACCTTTTGCAAATGAAATTTTTTTCTCGACTAAGTATGTGTAGGACGAGATTCTTGTATCAATAACGATTCAAAGAAAAAGTTTCTTAATTATATTTAGTAGAAAAGGAAATAAGGCAAGGAACGAAGATCGATATTTTCGTCGGCGCAGCTTGTATCCTTGACAAATTCGTAATTTAGATCGTTACATATCGTGCGTGCTTACTGGTCGTTCGATAAATCGATACAACTATTGAATTCGAGTTTTAGAAGGCTCAAACTCGATGTTCTAGAAAATCAAATTTCGAGAAACTTATAGATCGTAAATCTAACGATTATCGATTTAGTATGAATTTAAGAAGAATCGTAGCTATACGGAGTGTCTCAAAATAGTATGCCATTTAATTTATATAACTTTTGAATTAATTTATTAAAAAACTAAAACACATTTATTTTTTTTTTCAAATAAACTATCTGCATATTTCGAGACACCCTATACAGGTTAAAGAGAAACTTAGTCAATTGATGAGCGTTAGTGGTAACGTAGTTCGTAATTAACTCATTGGTCCTTAGGGTTAACCTCGTTAAACTATAAACCAGTTTCCAAGCGTGTCCAAAACTTTACCTTAAAGGTAGCTCTCGACATACCATGTCCGTTTCGTTATTTTTACATGTATGATTAAACAATTTTTTATTTAAATCTATTTAAATTGTCTATTTTAATTGTTAAGATTCATTGATTCACTAGATAGCAACGAAAAAGTTCTCAAACATTTCTTTTTTAATTTTTAAATAATTTAATAGTGAACATAACCTAACAAGCCGTCGAGAGAATGTATTGGACGAAAGCACGAGTAACGAATCAAAAAATTTGTTACAATAGCATCACCATAGCCTGTAACGGATATCCGGTTAGTTCATAGCAAGTACGATCCAATTGTTAAGCTTAAAAAGCAGTTTTTTATGAGAAAACCTTTACAACTAGAAGAGTAACGAATCCACGATCGATTAGCGATCGATCTACTCGCGGACGTATTCGAAACGTTTGCTTCACTTCTTCAAATTAATTAAATGCATCAATTGCATACATATTTCTTTTGTTCTTACCGCAAACGTTCGAATACTTCGCTGACAAGTCGCATCTAGCTGTGCAGAGTACGTTCATTAATTCTCGTACTGCCAATTTTCAATTGAAAATCTGTGAGAATAATGTTAATCGAGGATGAGAAAGATTTTGCATTCGACAATGGCGTGATTTACTATATCAAAGAGACTCGTCGCAAGAAGCATCATTAGCTCATAATTAAATAGCTCATGATCCTTTCCTACTCCTTCTCCGAGCCTTTCTCCGATACTTCTATAGCATCCATTCTCAAAATCCTTCGTTCGTTAGATCGAGGAGTAAGTATTGATGTGATCAATAAAAGAATATTGATCAGTAATTATCGATCATGCGACAATTGTATCTGCGTCAGATCGCCATGCGCGGGTAATCGTATTTCGCAACAGATGAATTGTAAATTCAAAAGAATAAAAGGAGATGGTCGTTATTGTTAGCCATTGAAGTTATTTCCCTTGCCGATACTTCTTTTAGACTGTATTCTTTTAATTTAATCACATTTAATCAAACAAATTTTATAATCATATTTTTGAAACTGAATAATAATCTTGACCTGGAAATTATTAACTGCAATCCAGTAAGTACAGATACAGAAAGATTGGACCTCTATTCGCAACTTTGCATTTTATAAAGCCCGCCATAAATTAAGTTTTTAAAATTCGATTCTGACGCCATCTACACAGAAACGGCGCAAACTACACGACAACTTATCGACGTGTTAATTCTATTACATCTGTGTGCCTCGCCTATTATTTTATCCTTTTATTTATTATTTTACCCCTATTTTCGGGCCTCGCGTGGACCACCCTCCCAAGCCATTTATTATTTTATCCCTCTTCATGGGCCTCGGCTCAACCTTCCCAGTTATTTATTATTTTATCCCTCTTCATGGGCCTCGGCTCAACCTTTCCAGTTATTTATTATTTTATCCCTCTTCATGGGCCTCGGCTCAACCTTCCCAGTTATTTATTATTTTTTTGTCTTTAAGGGCCTCACGAGGCCCAACCTTTTATCCCTGCATCCCTCACATGTCTGCATCCTTAACATCCCTGTATCCCTTATATCACTACGTTCCCTATATTCCTGCCGGCATTCCTTATACCTCGGCATCCCGTACATTTTTGCATCCCTTACATTTCTGTACCCTTTATATCTCTGTATCCCTTATACTCCTGAATTCTCCCTGCATCTCTTGTATCCTTTCAACCCTTATAATAAATATATTATAAATAATATACTTATGGCCACTGGTTCGAGTAAAGGTAAGTAAAGGTAAGTAAAGGTAAGTAAAGTCTCGTGAAAAATAATTTTAAATTTAAATTTTTGTAAAATTTAGTTCCTTTTTTCCCGCCAGAGGGCGCTGATTCGACATCGAAAATTTAGTTCGCATTTTTGCCGCCAGAGGGCCAAAATTGGTGCCTGGCTTAGTTCCTTTTTCCGAAACCAGATGGCGCTGATTCGACATCGAAAATTTAGTTCGCATTTTTGCCGCTAGAGGGCCAAAATTGGTGCATGGTTTAGTTCCTTTTTCCGAAACCAGGTGGCGCTGATTCGACATCGAAAATTTAGTTCGCATTTTTGCCGCTAGAGGGCCAAAATTGGTGCATGGTTTAGTTCCTTTTTCCGAAACCAGGTGGCGCTGATTCGACATCGAAAATTTAGTTCGCATTTTTGCCGCTAGAGGGCCAAAATTGGTGCGTGATTTAGTTCCTTTTTCCGAAACCAGATGGCGCTGATTCGACATCGAAAATTTAGTTCACATTTTTGCCGCTAGAGGGGCAAAGTTACGAATGCGAAAACGTGAGTTTAGGGATGTAAAAGTGTTAAAAGGATCTAAGGGGCCGCAGAATGTAGGGAATAGAGTGATATGTGGGAAGCAGGGCTGTAAGGAAAGCGGGGTCATAAGAGGAACAAACGTTTAAGGGATCGAGAGATGTAAGGGATTGAAGGGTGTAAGAGATAGAAAGGTGTAAAGGATAGAGGGATGTAAGACATACGGGGATGTAAGGAATGTAGGGATGTAAGGAGTGCAAAGATGTAAGGGATACAGGGATGTAAAGAAAGCAGCTATGTAAAGGGTACAGTGAATAATGCAGGAATATGTATAAGGGGTGCAGAGATGTAAAGGAAACAGGGATGTAAAGGATGTACACGGGAGTAATAAACCCAACACGTTCGTCCTGCTAATGAGTTTATTCTATAAGCTAACAAGATAAATACAGCAAATTAAATGATCGCAGAAAATAAAATACAGATATACGTATGTTTAGCAGGTAGATCTGCACCACTCGGCGGTCACTATAAGACTGATGCTGTTTCATTTCGCTCTAGGTCGATTGGTTCATAACGGTGCCGCAGCCAGCTACCTTTACTCGAATCAGCGGCTGTAAATATGTTTTTTTTTTTTTTTATTTTAACGTGAGGAAATCTTGCATAAGACCCCCCACCGTCCCCTGGGGCAGGGCGGCGGGGGAGTGTCAGATTCCTACTGACTAAAACCCCACGGCGACCGATTCTGACGCTAAAGGAGGGCTATAGGACCTTATGTGTATTACTCTGAAGCCCTCCACGCCTGGCACACTGGTGCCCATCTGAGGTGCCTAGCATGTGGCCGACACTAGGGGTCGCACCCAGTGCCGGCTTCTACTTGGACCGCGTGCAAAGGCGTCTGGAGCCCCCACTCCCGACGCCAGTGGCCCTGACGGCCCCACCGGTTTTGGTGGTGAAGCCGTCCATCAAAGATGGTAACTTGATGGTAACGTACCATCAAAGTACATACATACAGACTGTTGCAGTGCGAAGCATTTCTCATTTTTATATTAGGATAAAGCAGATGGCGTTCGTTCTCAAAGCACAAATTCGAAACCGCTTGAAAACAAAGGAATGTCTAGTCTTGGATGATCTTGGATATTGTTGGATATGTAGGTGTTGATGTAGGTCTCAATGCAAAATTAAATGCATTAAATGAAATTGTTCGGCAATCTGAGTTTACATCTTCATTCTTACATTGTAATCTAATCTCGACGCCAAACTGTCTCACACAGGGGAGTATGTATTCCATAAAACATAACCTTTTTGATATCAGCAGTGTTGAGATTATTTTTAATTCCTATTCATTCTTGACTTCCAGAAAGGAACGAAATCGAGGCAGCATGCCAGAACCAGTACATCATCAAATAAATGCTGCTCGAAAAACGTTCCAAACATTATACCAAATATCCAAATTATTAAATACAAATTTAGATCCCACGACATTAAGTATATGTATTCGATTATGTGAGAATGGTGTAAATCCATATGCACTTGCAACTGTAGTGAAGGAGTTGCAAAGAGAAGTTAAAGCCATGGATAATACTAATCAGTTAGAATCTCCAACTAGCAAATCTAGTTTAAATAAATAATTAAATCCATGTTATACGCTTAATAAATAAAATTGATCTGATAGTGAATAATTTTTCATACATATTTTAGTTAGTTACAATGAAAAAGTACATGCACTGTTTGTAATGAAAAATGTTAAATGATTAATTATTATTCCTGTTTGATATTAGTTTAACAATGTAACTACAGCATTAAAATTACATGACGAACAAAATGTTTAATTTTATTCCTGTCACATAGTTTACACAATTATATAAATTTCATTTTATGAATTTGTAATTACACCATTGTAAAGTAAATAAAGAATAATACTACAAAGAAGGTTAAATTGAAACTATGCAACTTTATACATTAAAAAGAAATTTCGCAGGAAAGACAAAAATACAGATACACATAATTTGAATATTAAATTGATTTTTGTAATTAAACAAATACTTATATACAAAATTATAATATATATATTTGATTATCAAGATATGTATATATATACAAACCGAAAATATTTAGTATCTTTAAAGAATATACACAGTAAAAAATTACAATTCTTGTCTTTTCTTTCCCTCATCCTCAGGCTTACTTACTTTATTAATGTTTGCCATATTTACATTCTGAAATAAATGATAAATAGCTGTAGTCTAACTTAGACTACACAAGAAAGAATATTTCAATTTCATTTGTTACAATAAAGTTTTACCTGTTTCTTTGGATCTCTATAATAGGTTTGCCCTTCAAGGGTAACATGAGACAGTTCTGGTTGTTGCAATAAAAAATTTTTGGCATCTATAGCTTGTGAACCTTCGCGAAATAAGAAGATAGATCTTTTTTTATCAATTGGATACCTATAAAATAAACAATATAAAACAATTAAATTATTAAGTATTTATAACTATCTAAAATAAAATAACAAAATGATACCTTTCCGCAATAATGTGGTTATTTTGAAGGCTACTTTGCCAGATCTTCATTATTACATCAGCTTGTTCCACTGAAATATCTTCATTAGTATCAACAAACATCATAACACCTTTACCTTTTTTTGTCATTTTCAATACATTATCAGGATTAGACATATCAAGCTAAATGAAAAATTTATACATATATATAAATATATATAATTCGTACGATTAACAGAAATATTTAAAACCAACAATTACCTTTGATATATCAATTTTTGGGCTAGGTCTAAGATGTTCTGGTAATTCATCGGGTTCCAATGGTTCATCATTTTCCTTAAAGAGTAAATGTACTTTAGTATCGTTTATATTTGCTATATACCTCTCTCATTGTTTATATACAAAAAGTAAAAGGTGGAAACAAAACAATATATGTACCTCCCATTGATCTAACAGGTGTTCCAAATCAGCATCGGTCATGTCTCGTATATCTTTGTCCTTCCATGATTTTTGTTTATTTGATTTTGCATCATTAGCTGCATCCACGTATAATAGCAAAAATATGCTACAGAAAATAATTTCTTTTCTCATATTAATAAATTTTTTAAAATTAATATTCAGTACAAGGTCTACAGTACTTTGATCATCACAGAACTAGCACATTTTTGAGTATTATCAAGTCTATTTCAAAGCAGACACTACTGTTATACAAATCTGTTTCAAATGCCTAAGTACTTATATTATTATTGGACAAGAAGAAACTATATATAAAATGAAAATAAATGTCCCGTTATTGAGCTCCATTCATTCCTGAAAGAAAAACGATTAGTGTTGCCACCTACCGTAATTCGAAATACAACAGTGAGTACAACAATATTCACAGTTTCGGACGATGATGAAAATTGTAGGCGATATATCCATTGTTTGGATCCTGTGAAAATTGTGAAGCTATTATTCATTGAAACTCATGTTACAAGGTACGATTCATTTATCGCTTTGCCATTGAGATAAAGAGAATTTCATTTAGTTAACAGTATTATTTAGCACAAAGTAGGTCAGAATGGTATTCGTACTTCTGCTTGTGCTATATTCAAGTAATTTTTGAGGTGTGTTTAAAATTATACGCTACGCAGTAATGTTGATGTTAAAATATTAATAAAACGACTAAGTAAAATGATTAAATTTATTATAAATAATGTATGTATCTTAGAAATTTTACCAGTATACATAAAATAATACACTCTAAGGTCAGTGGACTGTGTATTAAAGAATATATTTTAAAATAGCAATCATCATTGACTTTTTGTTAGGACATGTCATATACTGTTGATTTGTGATAACATTTAATGTCAATAGTATTTGTGACTGAATTATATATTTATCATTGATGAGACATATAGATTGTTTGCTATATTCCATTATAAATAACAAACATTTTTATTTTTTTCTAGATTACCATGCAGATGCATAAAAATAAATTATAAGTATTACTGAAATCTTTTAGTTTCTTGAAATTAAAAACATAAAACATGAATAATTTTCAAGTTGCGGTTAATATTAAAGAAATAATAGAACTTGGAAAACTTCTGCATCAAAATGGAGATAAAATATTAAGCGCATCAAGTAAACTGTCTTTGTCAACTACACTGTTATACAATTTAAATGAAGGTTTTTCAGTAATAGTCAATGAACCTGAAGATTTAGAGGGTTCATTTCAAGTGTGCAATAGTTCAGAAATTGATATATTTCGTGATTTTAAATTTCTACATGACTTTGTGCAAAAGACAATTGGATTGAAAGTGACTTACTGTCCAAAAAATTCTGACATCCCAGTTGATATCACAAAATTTAGGCATTTAAAATACTTGGAACTGAAGAAAATAAATATAGACTTAGTGAAGGGACTCCAAGGTATCAGAGGTCAACTTGAAACTGTTATCTGTGCTGGTAGAAAAGGAGTTTGTACCGTAAGACAGCTATTAGGTAATTATAATTAGATAAATTTTAATTAAGAAATATATCTTATCGTTCGTGTCTCTTATGATAATAAAAAATTTATATAGCTTCTTGTGGTGGAGATGCTGGCATTGGATTTGTATGGGGTTCATTAAAACATTTAGCATTACCTCATAATGCTCTTGAAAGACTGGATACATCTTTGGAATTAGCACCTTGGCTACAAATAATAGATCTGAGTCATAACTTCATAACGTCTGCTGAAGAATTATCTTGTTTACCTAACTTAAAATATGTAAACCTTGGGTATAACAAATTAGAAACAGTACCTACTTTTAATAAAGCTGCAGTGCATTGCTTGCAAGTATTAGTTTTAAAAAATAATTACATAGAAAATCTAAATGGTAAGACATTATTGCGTATAGTTTATTTATCTGAACTTTAGGAATAAAATAGTTATGGATAATTTTTATTGAAACAGGTTTGCAAAATATAGAAAGTTTAACAGAATTAGATTTATCATACAATTGTTTGATGGAACATTTGACTTTGTGGCCTTTAGAAAAAATGTCGACTTTGTTATGGATAAGTTTGGAAGGAAATCCTTTATCATACCATCCAAAACATAGAAAGTTATCTGTACAATATTTACACCCATGTTTAAGGGATAGCAAGGTAAATTAATAGAAAATGGTAGTATTATAAAATAAATTGTGATTGAATCGAACCTGGCATTACACGAATATAATAAAATTTTACGGTTTAGTTTGTTTTAGATCATGTGCCTCTTTCAAAGTCAGAGAAACAACTTATTGCCGAAAATCGCCTTTTTACAATCAGATCCAAACAATCCGCATCAAATGAAGTTCTGGCTTCATTGACAAACTCTGTCAGTTCTAGTAGTCTATCTACATCTGTTAATGTATTTACCACTAGTGAAATTGTTGCAGGAAAATCTATAGATATTACGAACAGTGTAGAAAGAAATTTGTCTAAAAGTAAAAAGAAATTAAACATAAAAGAAGCTCTTATCGCAGAAGATGATCAAGAAAGGAAGGAATCAGAAGCAAATTCTAGTATTTGTAGTTCTTATTTAGGTAATAAATTATCATTTGTCATTGAAAATTAATCCAGTGAATAACGTGTAAATGCAATTAAAACAATATAAATCATTTTTACTTTGTTCTGTAGAAACTTCAAAGGACCACTTAGAAACAAAAAAGCAAATTTTAGCACTGAGAGAAAAATATGGAGAGGATAATTGGTTAAGCAGTCATGCTGGAACATTTGTTCAAGATATAATGGGGTTGCAAGCATCATCGAGTCCTGTATTAACACCGGAATCTACCGTAAAAAATTTAGATGGTACAAGTCCTATGTCAAATACTCAGGACGATGCAATTCTTTTAATTAAAAATGCAGAAAGTAAAACGAAAGAGGAATTGGAAACGAAAGAGGATGATGTAGTTGATAGTGAAAAAGAAAATCAAACTAAGGTATTAAACGAAGAAGAGAATATTTTTGAAGAATCTAATGATGCAATAAGTACTAATTTAAATATACCTGAACCTCTTTATGATCCCGAAGAAGGTACATTATAAAAAATTAAATGTAAATTCAGGGTAACAAATAGTTATTTTAATTATTGCTTTTTTGATATTTAGAAAAGGGGGATCTATATTTGGTTCAAAAGAAGAAAAATGATAATGAGTTAGAAGATTTATTCTTAATAATAACTTTAAAGTAAGTACCTGTTATTGTATCAGTTTAAAGCTTTTAGATAAGTCAATATTTATTAAATATAAATATAAACTGTATTATTATAGTGATATTATAGAAAGAGATGCACTTTCTGGCAAACTAAAGTATTCTTGGTCAACAAATTCTGTGTTGTCATGTGTACTAGGCAGAAGTGAACCAGTTACAGTAGACATAATTTTCGATACAACTCGGGAGAATCGTCAAAATAGGAGATACTATGTAGAACCGGATGCTGCAAAAGTAAGAATGGGAAACATAAACATAAAAACAAATGACGAGTAATATTAATATATAATCTAATCATTTTACAGAAAATAGTAGAAATAATTGGCGAAAGAATGAAGAAGAGACCTATATCATTGAAAGTTTTTAAATGCATGAAATGTTCAACTCATTTTTCTCAAGATACAGAATATATGACAGTCATAACTTCATCTATGTCAGGTATGTTCATGAATAGATATTCTGTTAATTATAAATCAAGCATTAAAATAGGCAAAGTATGATATAAAATTTATTCCATCAGGTGTGAAACAATTAAAATGTCCTACTTGTGAAAGCACCCTAGTCATAGAAACAGATGAAATATCAACTCTTGATGCAGAGAGTGATGTTTCGGAGGATTCTTCTGAATGTATGATTAAAAATCAGCATTCAGAAAACACTATGAAAACTAACTTGCAACATTCTGAGTCTTTTTCTAGTATTGGTAAGCTTTATTTCAGTAGGTGCATGTTATACTTCAATCAAGTTAATCCAAGGATAATTAAAATATTTTACATGTTACTTCTTACAAATATGCAACTATTAGTAATTGATTAATTGTAAAATAATGTAAAATAATCAAGTTGTGCACTCATAAGGTTCCTACAGTAATTATTAACTATATAATTGTTCCTTTATAACGTTGAGTTTGTGTAGTACTAGTGGTCTTTTAAGTTTTATCATAGTAATAATATTCATTAACTGATTGAATATGAACGCACTAATTATACTGCTGACTGCATATCCATGCATTTTACTATCGACTGGGACTATAACATACTAATCCCGGTGCAGGTGGAACGGAGGGTGGAGCTAAATCCGTCACCACTTCTCTGGTACACTCCGACTTTCACACCCAAGCTCAAGCCTGCTGTAAGCTACAGCCACAATATTTTATTACAGCACTTTCTGTTTTCTCAACCTTCTTTAAAAGATATATTAGGCTGTATATTAAGTGCTTAATTAGTTAAGATTAAATACTATTATTAATGGAAGCTTACATTTTTAAAAATTTTGTTTTATAATATATTTATATCAAAGCAATTGTAGCTTTTCTATTTTATTTAGAGGGTTCACTATAAATAAGAATTATATAGAAACTCGCAGGGAGAATATAATCTATATTTTTTAAACATATTAAATACTTTATGTTGTCAATAAAATCTTTTGTTATGTCAAATATTAAATGTTAGAAGTAAGTATTAACATTTGATACTACAATTATCATTATAATTATTATTAATAGGTTCAGCAACGAGTTTGGAAGAATCACGAGAATCTACACCATCTATAAATACGTTGAACAAGAAGTATGAAAGTGATATTGAGATACTCAGCAACCCCAGTCAAAGTAGTATTGAAGTTCTAGATGAAACATCAAGGTAGAATCATTATTTAAGTTATCATATTTTTCTCTCCACATATAAAGTACATCTATATTTATATGCTTATTTCTAATTAGAAAGTATAAACATATAGATCCTAACTAATTGATCAATTGTTGCTTTATAACATTTGTATAATTATCGTAGAACTCATCTGACACCGCATAGAAAGCGTTCTTCAGAAGAAAGACGTACCGCAGTTGCTCCATCTCTTTTAACGATACCAGATAAAGTGCCAATTACGACTGGTTTAACCGAAAGTAGTTCTTCAGGTTTGCTGCAAATTTTACAATAACTGATGTTGCGTGATTATCTGTAAATAATCACTAATAATATTGTGTTTAATAAAGGTTCCTTAACGGATAGTATTTGTACCGCGTACGAAAATAAGCCAATTAAGCAAGCTACTGTAGATGAAAAATCCCTTAATAACAGCACTGACAAAGAGATGAAATTCACACCTGTAACAAATTTAACTTCCATGCTAGGGGGTAAGTAAACACATATGTTTTCTATGTTTTAATTTTAAGGTTTCTTTGTATATTAAATGTGGTAATAATCAAATTATTAGGTTTACTTCAAAGCATAAAGATTGGTAGTAATAAATCATTAGTGTTGAAAGAAGAGGAAGCATCAAACTTCCTTGGTAGTAACATTCAGTATTCCTATACGGATTTCGGAAGTATAGATCATAGAATAAAGTTGCATATTATTTTGAACATATTTGAACACGAAAAGGAGGAACTTATTCTTCTTCTTAGGGTAATGTTATAAAATTTACCGTATTTTATTTTTAAGTTGTCGTTAAAGATTTGTTTCTAATTTTTGATCAAATTTCAGGCTGAAATTCTTATGCAGAATACGAAAGATACGTTTCCTGGTTGTTTAGTTCTATCTACATCAAAGGTTTATGTTCTTAAAATTGACGGATTTGAGGGGTATAAATAAAATTTCTTATGATGATTTTATATTTTTTTAAATCCACGTTTTATTATAATTTTTGTATTTATATTATTATAGAGAGGATCCGCAACGTTGGTTGCATAAAGAAATCAGTTGGACAATGGATAGATTGAGATGTTTTGCACCTCTACCATTTAAACAAGGAGTTCTGATTGAATTAGAACAGCCTATCAAATTAAATGAGGAATTACACTCTACTATTACATTTTTATGTATTCTACAAGATTTTCAAAGAACATCAAACTTTTTATTTTATATCACTGGTAAACAAAAAGATATTTCAATTATGTACCATGCAGCTACAATTCTATCTCTGAATACTAACTTATAAACATTTATTTGTAGATTTATCGTTGCCGCCTAGTTGCGAAGTTGAATTCACGGTACCGGAACACTGTACCATTTTTATGCACCGTTTATTAAAAAATTGTAAGAATTATCAAGATGGAGATTCTGTGAGACTACTTGCCTTATTTTCTTCTGCCTTATTAAAATATCAAGATCTGAAGGTTCAACTTAAATTATCCAGTTTAATAGTAACTGCATCTGTTCTGGTAATATGCAATATGCAATGGCTTCTATCTGGTAGCAATGAAACACCAAATATAATAAGGGAACAAGCTATGAGCAACTTGATCGGATTGGTAAGTAATATATTTCTCTTTAATTGTAATTTTAATAATAGGTTTATATTTGATTTCATTGCTTTCTATGTTGTAGGAACATTATAGTTCTACGCTAACCCTAAATTTCTTAGACGAGGTAATGGGACAGGAAGAGTCATGGGTTTTAGATTTTGTTTCTGCAAGTGCTGCTGAAACGGTCATAAATTCTGTGCAACCACCATGGGAAGAATTATTCTCGATTCCATTACAAATCACAGTTGGCAAGTCGCAAAACGCTGAAAACGTGTAAAATGATATTTTACTCGCATAAAAGGATATTCTAGTCGAACAAAATATATCAGGTAACCATTAAACGAATATTATTGGTTAAACTGAATCAATAAAACTTGTGATCCAACATAATTTTACACATGTTAGTAGAATGAATAGTTTTTTTTCTTCGTAAAATCTGTGTAAGTAAATGAGTAAAGAGAACAAAGTGTAATGTTTGACCAACAAAAATATAAGTAATCATGTATGATATAGAAAAACTAGTAATATACTGTGAGTAATACTTTTTAAATTCAGAAAATTTCATTACAGAGATTTATTATAATTTTATCAATATTTTAAACGTCACAGCATATATCTTTGGATGATTTTTAGTACATTTCCGTACCTTGTTAGAAATTTTAAATGGTGCTATTAAAATTAAGATATTCTATTTTAAAACACGTGTTACTGCAAAGAAACTTTTGTATTAATAGTTTATTGCATACCTTGTATAATAACACTGTAAATGTTTATTCGTTATTTTAATACTGAACGTGATATATTGACAATTTATCTTCAGCAATGTTACGTTAATCAAAAAAATAACTTTAATATAACAAAATAAGCACATATTTTTATATTACGAGAAAGGAGAATCATACAGGTGTTATTTAATTTTGAATGTTTGTTTTGTAAATATTTAAAATGTGTACAGAAATATTACACGTAGGTGTAGGTAAATGCATATTCACCAAATTTTTGTATGCTCCCTTTGCCTTAAAAAAGTGCAAAAGTTTACAATACTGAATAATACTTGAATATCGTTATCAATCTGTGATATATATTTTGATTTTTATTACATATTTCACGTGCACCTGTACGTCGTAAAATTTTATAATATTAAATTAAGAAGAAACATAAACGACAGTGTTATATTCGCTAGATCAAACTTCTTGGTAGTTTAGTTTAAGTAATGCAATTAAACATAAATTATTTTCTTTATATATTATATTAATGTTCGTGAAATGTCAAATTTTTCTGGAATTAATATAGCTCAATATACTAAAGATAATGTTCATATCATTTTGTATGTATATATGTAAATAAATTGTTATTGTGTCTATTATATATATACGTATAAAGTTTTCATTATAATTTCATAGTAAAAATAAATGGGTACAATGTACAAGAAATAAATATTCAGTTTTGCAAATTTCTTTTATTTATACATATAAAAAATATATTATTATTTAATTATTAGGTACAATTCGTATGCCACTAAATTTATTTATTTTTTAACTGTTAATTAATTTTGTTTAGCAAGTGTTACATACGAAGTGAACAGTTGAATATCGTATTAATACAGTTCTAATAGAGACAAAACACAGAAAAGTGTGTACTCAAGGTATTCTGTACCAATGATAATAAAGAATACAATATGTAAATGAAACAGTTGGGAGATGCTGGAAATAACTTAGTATGTTCCTTAGATGCATACATGAAGTATGTATTCTAAGTGCATGTTACTGTTCCATTGAATTCTTTTTTTCATAGATTTTAAATATTCCATAAAAGCATAATTAAAAATACATTTAAATAGACATGTCTAATATCGTAAAAATTATAAGTTTACTACTTGTAACCAGTAAGTTTAACTATTCCTTTTAACTATTAATAATAATATATAAAATGTGCTCAGATAAAATTGTGGTATTATTAATATTCATATTTTCCTTAGTATCACTTGTTATTGGACATTTTGGATATAAGAAACGTGGTATGTACTATAATATTTTGTATTTCTTTTCTTAATTTTTATTTACTATTTAATATAACATTTTAGATCAACACATTTGGGCTCAAACATTTAAGTTGTGTGCTGGAAAGTTACAGTCTCCAGTATCTATATCAACACACAAATCAATTGCTCTTCCTTTACCAGCACTTGAAATAATTGGATATCATGATTATCTTCCAGGACCATTGTATTTGAAGAACAATGGTCATTCAGGTAACACAACATAATCAAATGACAAGATAATGATATTTGATAACAAGATAATGTTCTTTTCAGTTATGATGACTATTAACAATCATTCAAAACGGAAACTGCCTTACATATTTGGTGCTGTGTTCGATACAAATGAAGAATATGAAATAGATCATTTACATTTTCATTGGGGTGGAAAAAATAACAGAGGATCTGAACATATCTTAAATGATATTAGGTATAAAATAAAAGAAAAAATATAGAATCTCTATGTATTCGCAAAGCATTAATCACATTATCACTTTGCTGTAGGTATCCTATGGAGATGCATATAGTTCATAGAAATAAAGCATATTCAAATTTATCTAATGCATTGAATCATGAAGATGGTCTTGTGGTTTTAGGAATCTTTTTTCAAGTAAGTTGAGATCTTTATAAAATATACAAATTTAACAAGAAGTTATAGTGTTACATTATATTTAGTTACAGGAAAAGGATAACAAATTGTTATACCCCCTTGTAAATGAATTGATAGATGTAAAATGGTTAAATGAAAAAGTGAAATTAAGCACATCTATTACATTGATTTCATTGTTACCTCGTAACATAGATGTATTTTATACCTACAAGGGTTCTTTAACTACACCTCCATGTAACGAAGCAGTAACGTGGATCATTTTTTCGAAACCAGTACCAATATCTTTTGATCAGGTACGTTTCATATGATACAATTAGTATGTTAATATTTCTATTTCATAAATATTATTTATTACAGTTGAATGAATTTAGATCACTTTCGAATGGAGAAGACAGATTAGCAGATAATTATAGAAGATTACAAGATATAGGACTCAGAAAAGTGTATGTTAGGAGATTGAATTCATCTGATGAAACTGTTTTAAATATCACAGATTTAGATTGGTTTATACGTTAGATACATTCTTCTCAAATTTATATAATATTTAATAAATGTTCTGCTAATTGCAATCCGAAATATGATTTATGTAAGAAGTTAATAAGAACAAAATAATTCACTGAAATAAAGTAATAATTTAATTTATATTTTTCCCGGTTCGGAAAAATGGGATGCGTTTTTGCATCCAGGTGGCGTTCTTTAGGGACATTACCGTCCATTTTTACCCAACGGCACTACGGCCAACACTCTTCCGCGCAATTTTGAAACTTCTTTATACTTACGTTAATCGCTCTTTTCGCTTTGCCCGTTACATTTACTCTCTTACGCTTTTGCGATACTTTTAGTTCTCGCTCGCTCTTTTACATCCCCCTTTTAGTCGCCTCTTACGACAGGCAGGGGTTACCGTGGCCGTATTCTACTCCCCCCGAGCCACAGGGGGATAAAGTAATAAATTAAACAGAAAAAGGGGAAATAAAATCTTGATTTGGTAACACAATAAAAGCTTTTTCGACTCTTTTTGATTTTGTGTTGGAAGAAATCAGTTAAAATCTATACAAGACTGAAAGATTATTGAAATAATTGTTTGACAAACTTGTATTAAGCGCAACCATTAGTTCTGGCTAGAACTATTTACATCTTGCTTTATTGTGAACGGATATAACGTCTCTATGAACAATAGAGTGAAACCCAATTTTCTCTAATTGTCGGAACAGAAACGCACGACTAGACTGTAGCGCATGCGGCTATGTTGTGTCGATCTCCCCACTCAACCAACTGTGAAGAGTGGGAGACGACTCCATACATAAAATTCTATCCTAGCGCCATCTCTACAAAGACAGCTCAAACTACTCAACAACTTACCGATAGTTTTTTCGAAAGAGTGGAATACTTATCGACTTATCATATGATAGTCGGTAAATTGTTGAGTAGTTTCCACAGTTTTCGTATAGATGGCGCACGCTTTCCCCGATCGGTAAGTTGTTGAGCAGTTTGAGCGGTTATTGTAGAGACGGCGCTAGGATCGAATTTTTAAAATATTGAATTTATGGCGATCTTCTTAAAATATAAGTTTTTCAAACAATTGCAGAAAGCAGAAAATCTCAAAACTTTAATTTGGACAAAGAAAGAGAGTGATTATGCCCTGAATTTTACTTGCATTGTACTGGCACGACTTCCCAGAGGAAAGTTAGGTTCATTTGAAGCTTACATAATTAAAAAAAAAGAATAGAGGTGTTCCCCTAGTTTTACAATGGAGTGTATATTCCAACAATGTTTAATTCTGATTACTTTAAAATAATTTTATAGCTCATAAGTTATATAACATTTGTTATTAAATAATCCAACACTGTAATTATTTTCTTTAATAAAAATCAAAATTTGTATTTCACTAAAGTGACGTTATTTTCCTTTCTCCTAAATTATACTAAATTTTTTATCTCTAATTCTATTCAATTTTAAATTTTAATTACTTTAAGCTCAAAGATACTCCTTTCCCAAAGAAATTTCCCTAAAACCCTTTTTCTTCAAAAGATCCAGAATAGTTATTCATCACCAATAAATAGAGGATGCTTCTATCAAGAAGCGTTGAAGGTCCATGAATCAACGAAGGAAGAATCCTGGCGCCAGGACGTTGTAGTAATCAGAGGCGGTCACTGTTCCTCCCTTCTGGAATTCATTTTATCTCCGACGCAAAATGCAATTTGTAGGAATTCTCCTCAAGGCCTGGCAATGTTCGACAACGATAAAACAAGCCGGCCGGAAGCAGATAGAAGACTATCGCGGCAGCATGACGACGGAAGTGATGTTCCCGCCTTCGATTCGGAGCGGAATAACCCCGAAACCCGGCATCCTTAGTCCATTCATAGATGCAGAACCATCTGACATCAGTTGAATTTCATTTCTAATTCGTTCAAGTCTTATAGTGTTTTTTCTTGGATCCTCCAGGCATCCCTTCTCCTCTTCCTCGGTGTTGATACCTTCTAACATGTGCACAAGATTTTCATTTTAACAATTCAACAGTGAAAGAGTTAAAGAGGGCGTCTCGAAACTGGTTCTCGAGTTATGATTAGTGTGAATTGTTTCCTTGGGAGGTAAATGTTCTCAGGATGAAGATATCTCGATTGACGTCCTTTCTTTTGTGGGTACTCTTCTTGAGCCAGTGCAACGCTTTGTTTTTAATGTCGAGTAAGTGACAAGTTGATTTGTTAACACTTGATGATTGAAATTTATCAAATTTTCAAAATCATTTTTATAGACTGTGATGTTAAAAGTAGAAAAGTAACGGTACCATGCTTGAAAATTCGTACGTGGGTCAAATCACTCACGTGGCAATATAACGAGAGTCTACTGTAAGTCTACTGTATAAATTTCATAGGGGTGGAATTTTCATTTGATGTTATGAAATATTCTAATCGATTATTTAAAATTTTTAAATGTATTGTGAGTCGCTGATATAGTGACAATTTAAATTCGATTTTTAATTTAATATGTTATTCACGTTTCAATTGTTATTCTTACATTATTTTCATTTCTGTGGAACCTCGGTAAACTCTGATTGAATAGGGTTAATAATAAAAATAGAGACGAGCTTATGGTATTTACGTTCGCACTTTCCACCTAAAATAGAGTAAATCTCTCTGTTTAATTCAAGGATTTCGCGTCACTTGCACGGTTTTAGCTTCCACGAATAAAGAAATAATGAGATCCCGCTTTTTAAGCCGATTAACTTGTTAAGCTCATCGTTGTTTAAGCAGGTTTTCAAATATTTATAATATTTGAGAATAATGAAGAATTAATAGAATAATTTAATCTAACTAATTATCATTAATTAATCATAAAACATATTCAAAATAAAAAATTTTCATTTCTCTCTTCAATTACAGTAGACTCTCGTTATATTGCCTTCGACGGTATTGTAGGAGAAGAGAATTTGTAAAGCTTCGAAAAATTAATTTAAAGGAGAGAGGGGGATTAGAGATGTACCATTTTTATAAACTATGATAATAGAAGAGTAGAAAATTCAAATCGTTCAAATTCACTCACGTGGCAATATAACGAGAGTCTACTGTACGTATAAATTTCATAGGGGTGGAGTTTTTATTTGAGAAGTCCTATATAAAAATACAAAAGTCAATCGAACATT